TCCAGACCTTAAACTGTACTACAGAGCAATAGTAACAAAAACAGCATGTTATTGGCATCAAAATAGACCTGTAGACCAATGGTACAGAATACAGGACACAGAGTCTAACCCACATAACTTTAGTTATCTTATATTAGACAAAGGCACCAAAAACATACATTGGAGAAAAGATAGCCTATTTTTAAAAAAATGCTGGGAAATCCACATGTAACAAAATGAAATTAAACCTCTATCTCTCACCATGCACAAAACTCAAAGTGGATCCAGGACCTAGGAATTAAACCAGAGACCTTGCACCTAATAGAAGAAAAAGTAGGCCCAAATCTCCATCATGTTGGTATAGGCCCCAGCTTTCTTAATAAAACTCCTATAGTGCAAGAATTAAAACCAAGAACCAATAAACAGGATGGATTCAAGCTAAGAAGCTTCTTCTCTGAAAAAGAAACAATCAGTGACGTGAATAGAGAGCCTAGAGAATAGGAGCAAATCTTATCAGATAGAGCACTTATCTCTAGGATATATAAAGTATTCAAAAACCTTAACACACACACACACACACAACAAATAACCCAATCAATAAATAGGCCAAGGAACTGAACAGGTACTTCTTGGAAGAAGATATACAATCAGTCAACAAACATATGAAAAAAATGTTCAACTTCTCTAGCAATTAGAGAAATGCAAATCAAAACTACTCTAAGATTTCATCTCACTCCAGTCAGAATGGTAGCTATCAAGAATACAAACAACAATAAGTGTTGGCGAGGATGTGGGGAAAGAGCAATTCATACATTGCTGGTGGGACTGCAAATTGGTGCAGCCAACCTGGAAAGCAGTATGGAGATTCCTTGGAAAACTTGGAATGGAGCTACAATTTGACCCAACTATTCCACTCCTCGGTTTATACCCAAAGGTATAAAAACAGCATACTACAGGGACATAACCATATTAATGTTTATAGCAGCACAATTCACAATAGCTAAATTATGGAACCAACCTAGATGCCCTTCAGTAGGTGAATGAATAGGGAAACTTTGGTATATATACAAAATTCAACATTACTTATCATTAAAAGAGAATAAAATGATGGCATTTGTAGGCAAATGGATAAAGTTGGAGAATATAATGATATGTGAAGCAAGTCAACCCCAAAAAACCAAAGGCCGAATATTTTCTTTGATATGAGGATCTTGACTCATAATGAGAATTGGGGGGGAGTATGGGAGGAATGGAGGAACTTTAGATGGGGCAAAGTGGAGGGAGGGGGAAGGAGGAGGCATGAGGGCAGGAAAGACAGTGGAATGAATTAGACATCATCACCTAAGTACATGTATAAGACACAAATGGTGTGAAAATACTTTGTGTACAATCAGTGTCTATATGTGAAATATGAAATGAATTGCATTCTGCCATCATGTATAACAAATTAGAATACATTTTAAAAACTAGGAAAAAAAGAGAAGAAAGCAATTCTGTCTGGCCTGCTGGTGGAGTTCTGCTCAGTTCGTCACCAAGGGCTGCGGGGCAAGGTGGTCGTGGGCGATGCAACAGCACGGGTTTGGGGCACAGCGCCGTTCTTCTTGAGAACATGGCTGTTGCCATGTCTTGCCAAGTGTCGGAGCCTAGGACACATGTGCTCAGGTGGGATGGCTGCAGGCTGGCCTAAGGCCAGAGCGGTGGGTGCTGTTGGTGGGTCCGTGAGGGAGGCTGGCCTCCAGGGGGCCAGGGCTCTGGGCACAGAACTGTTGATGCATCGTTTCAAGAGTGGTCAGTCACTGTGCTAAGTGGGCGAGAACAGAGCTGGCGGTCCTGGTGCTGGGAATTGGGTTGTGCTGCTTCACGGTCTGCATCTGTGTGATCATTCTTCAAGTGCTGCTTTGGCTTCTGTTGCTCACTGAGAGTGGAGAGGGCTGGTGAGCAGGTATGGGCGTCCCCAGCTGTGTGGACAGGGGTGGAGCTGCAGGGATGCGGCAGGCAGCTCTGGGGATGAGCCCGAGTTGCTCTCCTTCACCTGTGTGTGCACTCCCTAGCAGTTCAGCATCTGCTGGGTGCCAGGGCGGCTCTCCCTCCTTCTGTGGGCAGCTGTGTGCCTAGAGGGAGGAACAACATGCTCTTCCTCTGAGCAGACAGAGGAGGCCATGATGCATGGTCAGGAGGGAAAGCTTGGCCTTGGGCGTGCAGCCAGGGCTCAGCACCCGGGAGCTGGCTGCACTCCTCCATGGCTCCTCTTGGATGACTCACTGCTCCTGGGTCTGCTCTGCTGGGCCAGGTGGAGCCCCCAGCAGTGGGGAACCTGCCAGGGGACACCGCCTGGAGGGGGCATGGCAGCTGCTCTGGTCCTCCTGGTCCGAGGGGCCTGCTTGACCTGGCTCAAGCTGACCCGTTACTCTCTGGTGTTGCTGTTACCATAGCAACCAGCATGCTTCTGGCTGGTCCAGACTCGATGCCAGTTGGTGCCTGTCTCACAAGCTGTTCAGAGGACGCACCCTGCTTTCTCCGCCAAAGGCACCTTGCCGGAAAGTGACTCCCGCTGCTTGGGTCTGGAGGTTCTTTGCATAATAAACAGGAAAAAAAAAAATCTCAACTCTGTGTTTTCCACTGAAGACCATTTCTCACAGGACTTCCAAAGTTTTTCCCTGAGAAACATAGGAACTTCCAACACCCACACTCATTGCCACAACAAGACACAAACCAACCAAAACAAAAAGCCCAGAAAACCCAAAACGGAAAGCAAGTGAGAATGCAAAGGTGCCAGAACCCAGAAGGCTGGGGCTGAAGGTCAGCAGAATGGCGCTAGCTTCGGGTTCAGATTTCTGGACTTTGTGAGAGCCATCAGTCCCCATCCAGAGCTGGGAGGTCACAGGGCTGCCTGGACATCAGCAGTCTCCCCATCTCCCCTCCCATTCTGGGCCTGCTTCTCCTCCTGGCCTGTGATTCCACCAGGCATGTGCGTGTGGGGCTCCTGCCAAAGGTGCTGCAGGAGGTCTGCCTCGGACCTATTGGAGCTCGTGGGTTTCTTCAGCCCTCACCAGACCGTGTCTTCATGACCCCCCCCCCAACAAGAGGCCGTCAGGAGAGCCGCCGGGGCAGCCCCCACGGGCAGCAGCTCCAGAGGCCTCCTTTGGGTCCTCCCTGCACAGCTGATAGCCATCGATTGTTCCTCTGTGATTCCCAGATATGAATCCCAGGGCCTTCTGGTCTAGATGCGTCTTGGAGCAGAGGGGCAGAGCTGAGTTCTGCTTTCACAGGACAGGGGCCTGAGGTCCCAGACACAGACGGCATGGGAAAGGGCACATGAGGGTGAGACCCCAGGCAGCTCTTGAGGTCACAGCTGCTGTAGTCACACACACACCCCAAAGCATGTCAGTGCATGGCAGACAGGGTTCACTGACACCGAAAACCTCACCCAGTTAGACTTCTGCGTCCAAACTGCATCAATGAAAAGCTAAAAGAAGCAACAAGTTGCATCTGTCCTGCCTTTGGGCTCCACTTTCAAGTTGGCACTTGTCCAGTGAGCAGGCCTCCTGTCCCCGCCCCTGGTGGCAGCACCGGGCCTTGGCGTGCAGAGGCCCAGTGGAGCTGCGGTTCCCATGCCACAGTGTGCGAGGCGACTACTGGCCCTGGTGTGGTGCTCTCCACTCTGAAGACGGGGTGCTGAGGGGCTTCTGTCTGGATTGGTTTGGTTCATTTTGTTTTCAGGGTCGACAGGAGACAACTCCCTGGTCCCTGAGCAGTGCTGGCAGGCATCAGTGTGTGCCCCCAGTGGCACTGGCCAGGGGGTGTCCAGCATCTGTCTTTCCCAACCTGTGCCTGATGCAAGTGGAGCCCAGTGCCAGGTGCTGCTAGTGTCAGAGTGGCTCAGAGGCAGACGTGGCCCTTTGAGGTGAGCCCAGGTCCTAGATGATCCTTCCAGCACGCTCAGCGTCAGACCTGCTGTTTGGGCCTGCAAACCCCTGAGGCAGAGCCAGGTCAGGAGCCTTCTGCAGGGCCACTGGGCGCTGGTGCCCTGAGGCACCATCTGTTTTCTCCAAACATGTTCAGATGTTTCTGGGAGCTGCTCTGAACAGGAAGGACCAGTGGAGGGTGCACAGGGACCCACACAATTCATGTTGCTGAGGATGTGGGGAAAAGGCACACTCATACATCGCTGCTGGGACTGCCAATTGGTGTAACCACTCTGGAAAGCAGTATGGAGATGCCTCAGAAAACTAGGATAGGAACCACCATTTGACCCAGCTGTCCCACTCCTCGGTCTATACCCAAGGACTTAAAACCAGCATCCTACAGTGATGCAGCCAAATCAATGTTTATAACAGCTCAATTCACAATAGCCGAGCTATGGAACCAACCTAAGTGTCCTTCAACAGAAGAATGGATAAAGAAAATGGATAAAGATAAAGTAATATTCCATTGTGTATATATGGTACATATACACAATGGAATATTACTCAGCCTTAAAGAAGAATGAAACTATGGCATTTGCTGGTGAATGGATGGAACTGGATAATATCATGCTAAATAAAATAAGCCAGTCCCCAAAACCAAAGGTTATATGTTTTCTCTGATATGTGGATGCTAACCTACAACAAGGGAGGATAGGGAGGAGAAGTATAGAAGTTCATTGGATTAGATGAAGGGCAATGAAGAGAAGGGAGGGGGCATGGGAATAGGAAGACAGTAGAATGAATCAGAAATAACTTTCCTATGCTCATATATGAATACACGGCCAGTGTAACTCCATACCATGTACAACCACAGAATGGGGTCAAAAGTGTAATGTGATGCACCCTATGTCCCTATGTATGTATAATATATCAAAATACACACTGCTGTCATGTATATCTAAAAACAACCAATGCATAAGCAGAGTGAGTGGACGTACAGAGGTTGAATCACATGCCTTGCTTGAAGTAAGTTTGTTATTTGGAAATGTCCCTGTGATTGGGAGGTGCTGAGCGTTTGCGTGCCAAGTGATGACACATGTCGTCTTCTCTCTTTAGGTGAAGCCAAGAACCTCCCCTCCTACCCTGGGCCCAACAAGATGCGGGACTGCTACTGCACAGTGAACCTGGACCAGGAGGAGGTCTTCAGGACCAAAATTGTGGAAAAGTCACTCTGGTAAGCCACTGTGCCTTTACTTGTTAGCCACCGGGTTCCCTCTGTGGCACCCGCCATGTCCCGTGTTCTTGGCCGTCGGCCCAGATGTGAGGGCTCTGCTGGCAGGCGGTCACTTGGGAGCTTCTGACCTGGGCCCTGGTGTCTGCTGGATGCTCCTAGCTGGCCACCACCCCTTCCCACCAACACCAGTTGCTCTTTTCAGTAGAGACCACTGCCAGGAAAGTGTCAAGGGGTTTCTGAGAGGGGAGAACATTCTAGAAGTCTTCTTTTCAACATCTCCTTTTGCATTTTCCTCAGGAGAGTGTGTTATAGGGGCACTGAGGTGCCTTAGTTAAGAGGCCTAGAAAACATCTGTCCATCAGTTAGATGACGGCATTGGTGAGGAGAACTGACCTGCCCTGGGTCTGAGCCTCCCTTGTGATGGGGTTGTGGGGACTGGTCAGGATGGCATGTCCTGGGCAGGGGAGCCAGCCTGTCTTCTGACAAGCTCCAGCCCAGGCACCACTGAAGAGGCCTGTGCCTGGTGGCGGGAGCAGGTGGGGACAGAAAGTGGCAACAGGGAGGCCAGCGTGGCTGTGCACGGGTCAGAACCCCGGCAGGAGACCTGGGCAGCCTGTCTGTCCTCCGTGTCAGCGGAGTGGGCCGCTGTCTGGTGGGCAGGCAGCCTGCCAAGCAGGCACTCCACGGGACCAGAGGAGCCGTCTGGAACCAGTGACTCCCCTTCAGCCCGAGTTCAGGGCTTGGGGTCTCAAAACAGCTGTTTTCCTTCTGAGACCATTTTTAGCAGCTGAATGTTGCCTTGCTGTTGACTTGCAAGTGGCAGCACCCTCCTCGTGGGCTGGAGGCTGTCCAGTGCTGGGCAGTGGCCGAGGCCTGGCCCCAGGCTGCTCAGTCACCCTGGCCCCTCCATCTGTGTATGCCCACCCCCTTCCATTGTTTTGACTGGGACCCTTAGGGCTGGTGGGGGTCTGGAGTCAGTGCAGGGAGAGCCTGGGGTTGGCGGTGAAGTGGCTGAGTCTCTAGTTAGAGAGGCAGGAGGGCGAGGAGCCTGCCCTGAGTTGCAGCCGGTTCATGCAGGAGACTTCCCTGCTGCCTGCACCTGGTGTGCCAGAGGCCCGAGGAGGGTGCACCCGGGACTTGCCTGGGTCCTGGCCAGGCTGGCTCCTCTCCAGACTGCTGAGGGGTCGGTGGGACTCGTCTCCGTCGTCTCCGTCGGGGTCTACTCTCAGGTGAGGTGGAGAGGCAGGGCCCACTGTCTTCCAACATTTCGCAGAAATCATGGTTTCTGGCTTGGGGGCCCCAGAAGCTGCCTCTGGCACAGGAAAGGAGGCGTGCCCACGGCCAGGAGCAAGCAGTCCGCAGGCAGAGCCCCTCGCCGGCAGTCCACGTTCCCACTTCTTGGCTTTTGGCTGGGCAAGTGCTTCACAGAGCTCAGACAGACAGGCACAGGGCCCAGGCCCCAGGCACAGAGAGGGGTCGGCAGAACGGCCCCTGCTCCACCGCCGGGCATTTGCTCCTCATGAGTTTGCAGCCTGGGAGAGCTGTGGTTCTGCAGCCCCACTCCACATGGGCCCTGGCCAGAAGCCGGTTAGTGTCTGCTGTGGTTGAGCACCTCCAGCCCCCTCTTTCCATCACACACTAAGTCCCAAAGAACAGGATTGGAAGGGAAAGAGCGCAGGTGTGCAGAGCCTTGAGTCTACCTGCAGAGGAAGCTCACGGCCCTTGGCGTCTGCAGCACCGAGGTCCAGTAACCCAGCTTGACATGTGGAAGCAGAAGCAGGGCTCCAGGTTGAGCAGGTCAAGGCCGAAAGGAACGACCCTGCGGATTTGAAGAGTAGAGCTCCTAGAAGTGAAGGACAGCGTCTAGCTCCTTGGTGTACAGCTGACTTCAGGAGGCCAAGGGAGATGGGAGGCCATTTGGAACCTTGCTCAGAGTCAGCAGGAGGCCCAGGGACGTGGAAGGTGGAGGACAGGGCGGTGGCAGCCCCACTGGTCTGGGCATCCCAGGAAGAGCGTACTAGGGCTAGCTCAGGGTCCCTGTGGCCTCAGCTTGGGGGTAGGCCCAGAGGCAGTGGGTCTCTGTGGAGGTGTCTGCTGGAGTCTGGGTGAGAGGAGGATGCCAGACCTGTGGGTGGCTGAGGAGCAGAGCTGAGGGCCTGGCCCTTGAAGGCCCTGGACACCTCACTCCTCCAGCACGATGCTCAGGAAGCCAAGGCTGCCCCTCCCGTGTGCCCACAAGCTCTCCCAGCTCAGCCTCTCCTTTAAGAGCCAATGCTCCGGACACTCCTCTGGCAAAGTCACTGTAGGAAGCCAAGGAGCCCATACTGTGCATCTGACCTGGCGAGAGCCCCAGAGCCCGGCCCTTCTACAAAGATGTGCCACAGACTCTCTCCACTGGCAAGGGAGAAGGCAGCCCCTGCCCTCTTCCTCACTCACAAAAGCTGCTTTCGGGGTCCACGTGCGCCAGGCCTTCCCCGTGGGATGGGCTGGCTGGTGCCCTGGGTGCATGGCCCTGTCGGTGGCTACAATGCTGTCCTAGGAAGCGTCCCCTTTCTCCTTTTCCAGTGCGGGCCAGAGGCTGCCAGCTGCCCCCTCAAAGTCTGAGCTAAGAACTGCTGGAGCAGACTCCCCCAGGAGAACAAGCCCCTCTCCCCTGCCTTGTCCTGTCTCCAGGAAAGTGACTTTGGGAAGTTTCTGTGCCACTAAAAGACCTTCTCCTGCTGTAGAATGTGAACTTGGTCACATTGCAAAGCTGGGTGCCCAGCCCTCCTATGGCAGCCTGTCACCATCCCCTCATACACCAGTGACTCTGTGACAGCAACGGGAGTCTGCTGAAAGCTCATAGGGCCCCAGGGGGACACCTGGCTTCCACCCCAGGGTGCTGCCCCCCAGGGCCTGGAGGGACAGCTGAAGGGCAGAGCAAGTCACACAAGCAAGTGAGCATCTACTGCAGGTTCCTCAGTCCTTGCAGGAACATTCCCCGAGTGTCTGCCTCTCGGTCTCCCCGCGTCCAGGTCAGGATGGGGATGCGGTTTGCACCCAGGGCTTGTGGTCCTGTGTGGCGCTGACACTGCTGCCTCTCTACAGGGTTCTGTGGTGAAGACGGCTCCTGCTCAGTGCGAGCCCTGGGTCCTGGTCTAGCCCGTGGCCCCGCAGAGCCATCTGGGGCTGTGCAGAGACCCTGGCTCCCTGAGCTGTGCACCTGCTTCCTTCATGGTTATGTCTGGAGTGGCAGGCCCCAGAGCCCCCTCCCAGGCTGAGATTTCTCCAGAACTGATCTGGAAATCTAGACACAAAGGTCCGCCGGCAATTGTGCTCAGTAGTGGAGACCCGAGAAATTTTCATTCTTTCTTTCCTATGTATATTCTACATCAAATTAGCAGTTAAGAAACAAAGTAGACAGCCCTGTAGTGCTAACGAAGTTGGGCTGGTTGGTGCCCAAGCCTGCGGAGTCTGCAGGGAAGCGATCCAAGTGTCCCTCAGCCCTGGGGTACACCTCTTGTGGGGTCCCAAGAGGGCACATTCTGCCCAGACCAGAACATGCCCTCACTTGGGAAATATGCTTTGGTGTGGTGGGAAGATCTCTGCAGCTCTGAGTTTTAGGCAGGGCAGAGGTCATCTGGGTCAGAAGGTAAAGGGACAGTAGTCGGTGGTTTGGGAGACAGACCCCCTGGAGTTTTCGTAAAAGCACGCTGTTGACTCAAAAATGCCAACTTTGAAATTGCCGGATGCTCCAGGTCACGTTCTCTCTCCTGAGGTTGACTTTTCTCTAACTGCCCACATTAGTGAGCTTGAATTCCACGAGCAGGGAGTGCCTGCTGCCCAGGGGTCACCATGCTGTGTGGCCTGCCTGCAGCCCCTCAGACCCTGGAGCACAGAGACACTCAGGGGAGACTCAGCCCTCCCCCTTGCCCCAAGCCCTCAGGCCCAGATGTTGGGAAACGAAGGCAGGAGCTTGCGGCTAGCAAGACACTGGGGACTCAGAACTTGTTCTTTTCTCATGACCAAGTGTCACTTGTCACGAGGCTCAAGCAGCCATGGTGGGGTGGGGCAGCGGTGGCCTCGCACAGATGTCGGGAAATGACTCAAGGAGAAGTTGGTGGTTTCTCTGTGAGTCCCAGTGAGGCCCTGTGTGACCCTCCCGGCCAAGCCCTGCTGGGCTCGGGGGATAAGGGAGGAGGGAGTCGGCTCAGGCAAGACCCAAATGAGAGGCCCACTGCTTCCTGCAAGTGTCTCTTTCTCTGTGGAAGTTTGTTCACTTGAAACTGTGCCGGCTCCTTCAGCGTCTCCCTCTGACCTGGCAGCCGGAGGGAGGGAACGCTGCTGCCCTCACACAGCGCACCTAAGACAGGCCCCGGGTTCCAGTGGACGCTTCCTTTATTTGAAAAGAAGGCTCTGGAGCCCGAAGGCCGCAGGCCCAGCCTGTGGCTCCTTAATCATGCATTTGACTGGGTTGATCCAGAGGGACAAAGCCAGGCCTGTGCAGGAGACGCCCCGAGGCTGCCCTGGGACGGCACTGGGACCCTTGGAGGCTGTCAGAAAGGATTCCTTGTCTGCAGGGCAGCCTGGGCAGGACGAGGGTGGGGATGCCCTTGTGCTCGGTCATTTCCTTTCTCTTTTTGAATACATGCTGTAAATTCTGCAGTGGGAAGAGATGGGCAGGGCTTCCCATGGAGGGGAGAACGGTGGAGCCTGTCACCTAGGCCCTGTCCCGGTCCTGGGCTGTGCAGCTGGGAGCCCGGTGGCCAGGTCCCTCCCCTCTGGCTCGTCCTCCCTGAGCAGGGGACACAGTAGCACACCTAGTGTCCGCCAAGCCTGCAGAGGATGTGCTGTGGCTGCTCGGACCCTCCCCACCGTGGAGCAGGAGATGGAGCGGGAGGAGGCTGCTCTCAGGGCCGGCCAAGGCACATGCGTCCTCGCACCTATGACAACATTGTTGTTAACAAGTCTGTGGTGTTTTTAGTTAAAAAAAGAAATTCCTCATGCTGTGAATTAGTGGTTTTGTCTTCAACACAAGCTGAAAAGTTCCAGTGGGTCAATCTCCCGAGCATGAGAAGGCCCAGTAGGAAGGGCGTGTAAAGAGGAAAGGAGATCTTACAGAGTGCCCAGGCTCTCAGCCTCACCTTGGCTAAAACATTCCAAGACGAGTGGCTTTCCTTCTGTCCCTGCACCAGTTCAGCAAGGTCGAAGCAGGTCCACCAGACTCCATGTGGGGCTGTAAGTGATGTCGGGGTGTCCTGCCACAGCTCTAGGCCCCCCAGTGTGACGAGCAGGCTGCCGTGGATGTTCCAGGACCCTCTCTGCCTTGCTGCTCTGGTCCTGGCTGTGAGCAGCCTTGGGAGGCTGCGCCTTGTCCTTTCTGTGTTGCCCACTGCGTCTCCCCGCTCAGAGCTCCAGGGCAGGGCAGGACCTGGCAGCGTGAACATGTTCAGGAGATCTGTCCCCACTTGGTCTTTGGCAGGGGCTTCTGGTGCTGCTGCAATAGGGGAGGGCCAAGCATGGGTGACCAGACGGGACAGCTGCTCTGCCCCCAAGAGCTCCCACCTCCCCGGGGAGGGTGGTGTTCCCACAGCCCCAGCTGGAGAGATCAGCACACCTGCCTACTACCACCCCTGGATGGTGAGGAACGGAGGCTCGTTCTCAGAGTTTCCACCCTGAATCTCACTGCACTCACGGGAAGGCCTGGGTGGACAACTGCATTCTGCATGGGCAGTTCAGGGACATGTGGCCCCACTGCTTGCATTCCAGTAACCTGGGGGCTGGACGGGGCAGGAGGAAGCTCCTGGTACACAGGAGCTGGGACTCCGGCTCAGCAGGGCTTAAAGAAATTACTGGAAGGGTCTTGGTCTGCCTGTCCCTCCTGCCAATTTCCACAAAGCTTGGCTGGACATCATTCTGAAGGCAAAGGAGTCACTGGCCCACTGTGGGCCGAGTTGGGCACAGGCCACAGAGGGACAGCCCCTGGCTCAGGGCCTGCATGTGGATGGGACTTCCCGCAAGCCCAGACATGGTCTCCATCTGTTCCGTCCAGCCTGGTGGCCGCAGAGGAAGTCAATTCCAAGTGCTATGGACTCTGATTCCTGTAGCCTCTGCCATGGTGCTGGGTAGCTCTCAGTATGGTGCTGGGGTGGCCCTCAGCGTGGTTCTGGTGTGGCCTCCAGCATGGTGCTGGGTGGCCTCCAGCATGGTGCTGGGTGGCCCACAGCATGGTGCTGGTGTGGCCCTCAGCGTGGAGCTAGGGTGGCCCTCAGTGTGGTGCTGCTGTGGCCTCCAGTGTGGTACACAGGAGCTTGGGTCCCCAGGCCCTGGGACGGGGTGTCCTGCCACAGCTCTAGGCCCCCCAGTGTGACGAGCAGGCTGCCGTGGATGTTCCAGGACCCTCTGCCTTGCTGCTCTGGTCCTGGCTGTGACCACTGGCCCACAGTGCTGGGCTGGTCTCCAGTGTGGTGCTGTGTGGGCCTGAGCGTGGGGCTGGGGTGGCTCTGAGCATGGTGCTGGGTGGCCCTGAGCGTGGGGCTGGGGTGGTCCTCAGCATAGTGCTAGGTGGCCCACCGCATGGTGCTGGGTGGCCCTCAGTGTGGTTCTGGGTGCCTTCCAGCGTGGGGCTGGGGTGGCCCTGAGCATGGTGCTAGGTGGCCCACAGCATGATGCTGGGTGGCCCACAGCGTGGTGCTGAGTGGCCCTCAGTATGGTGCTGGGTGGCCCTCAGCGTGGTTCTGGGTGGCCCTCAGCGTGGTTCTGTGTGGCTTCCAGTATGGTTCTGGGTGGCCCTCAGTGTGGTGCTGGTGTGACCCTCAGTGTGGTGCTGGTATGGCCTCCAGTGTGGTGCTGGTGTGACCCTCAGTGTGGTGCTGGGGTGGTCTCAAGTGTGGTGCTGTGTGGCCCTGAGCATGGTGCTGGTGCGGCCCTCAGCCGTGGTGCTGGGGTGGTCCTCAGCGTAGTGCTAGGTAGCCCTCAGCGTGGTGCTGGGGTGGCCCTCAGGGTGGTGCTGGTGTGGCCCTCAGGGTGGTGCTGGGGTGATCTCAAGTGTAGTGCTGTGTGGCACTGAGCGTGGTGCTGTGTGGCCCACAGCGTGGTGCTGGGTGGCCCTCAATGTGGTGCTGTGGTGGTCTCCAGTGTGGTGCTGTGTGGCCGACAGTGTGGTACTAGGTGGCCCACAGCATGTGCTGGTGTGGCCTCCAGCGTGGTGCTGGTGTGGCCCACAGCATGGTGTTGGTATGACCCTCAGTGTGGTGCTGGGGTGGTCTCCAGCCTGGTGCTGTGTGGCTGACAGCGTGGTGCTGTGTGGCCGACAGCGTGGTGCTAGGTGGCCCACAGCGTGGTGCTGGGTGGCCCTTAGTGGGGTGCTGGGTGGTCTCCAGCATGGTGCTGTGTGGCTGACAGCGTGGAGCTGGGTGGCCCATAGCATGGTGCTGGGAGACCCACAGTGTGGTGCTGGGTGGCCCTTAGCATGGTGCTGGGGTGGTCTCCAGTCGGCTGGAGTGAAAATTCTGGAGTCCGACGTATTCATAAAGGAGGGAGGTTTCTTTGAGCTCAGGGTTTTGGAGGTCCAAGGCCTAGGGCTGTGTCTGGAGGCCAACAGAGGCAGAGCGTGTGCCTGGCAGGAGACCAGAGTGTGTGTGTGTGTGTGTGTGTGTGTGTGTGTGTGTCTTCAGGGCTTTCCCTGTAGCCAGTACTCACTCCTGGGGGATCCACCCTGAACCTTATCCAGTGTTTATTTGAGACAGGATCTGCCCTCTAATTTTTGATCCTTCTGCCTCAGCCTCCTGAGTGGGTGGTATGATGGTAGGAGCCATCATGCTCACGGCTCACATTCCAGATCCTACATTCCTTCCCAGGCCCTCTCGGGACATCACAGGTGGGTTCCATTTCCATCTCTGAACCCTTCAGTGGGGATTGAGCTCCAACACGTGGAGCCCTGGTGACACTTGGACATCATCCAAACCAGAGCTGCACGTGGCCCATGGCCACCTCCCAGAAAGCCCCCATGGAGGGACAGAAGTGGGGTCAGTCCTGGGCAGACCCTGGCAGGAGCATAGGCAGGCAGGGCATGTCAACGCTCCTGGTGGGGCCCTCAGCATCTCCTTGGGCTGTGGATAGTCAGGAGCATTCCTACAGGGACAGCCAAGTCGGGCCCAGGCCCGGGTGTCTCAGCAAGGCCCACAGCAGCCTTGTGGGCGGCGGTTAGGGCTGCCTGCTTGAGTTGCCCTCCAGCCCAGCAGCCTGGCCCGCCAGGTCAGCTGGGGTGGCCACAGCTGTCCATATTCCAGCTGCTAAAGTGTGGATCTGCGGCATCTCCCAGAGGCCGGATGCTAAGGGCTCGGTCCCCAGGGTGGGGATCTGGGAGGGGTGGGAACTTTAGAAGGGCCCCTTTCTCCTCTCAGGGGATTGTCTCAGGTGTTTGTTAAACAAAGCTGACACACAGCTGCCCTGGGCCGTTATGACAGGGGCCTTGGACATGGCCCGAGTCACTTGGCTGAGAGGGGGCCTCACATCTGTCACTCTGGCTGGGGGTCGGTGCAGGCCCTGGTTCTCAGAGGCTCTGAGGGCCTGCCGAGAGCTAGCCAGCAGGGACAGAAAGACCCAGAGGGTGCTGAGGCTGGTGCTTAGTCCTTCTCATCACTCGGGCACTGGTGCCCCTGCAAGCTCCTCCTGCGGCTGACCAAGGCCCTCAGAGCTGTGGTCTTCCGGTTCGGGCCTGAGTCCTAGACGTGCCTGACTCTGGGGTCACTCCTCATCTCAGGTGAGGCCTGTGTGTCTGGCTGCAGCAGCCACCTGCCCCACACAGCCCCTGGGTTCCATCTCCCAGCCCAGAACAAGGAAGTGTGTTCAGTGAGAAAGCCCTGGCCTCTGTGCCTCCATCAGAGGCCCTCCTCATCTGAGGGCCGCTACAGCTGAGGGTGACTCAGGTTTGGGCTGCAGAGCCAGGGAGCTGCACGGTGGCGGCACAGCAGGACCTCTCCCATGAGAAGTGAGAGCCACCGCTCAGTGCACCGAGGACCGTGCACGGAACTCTCTGAGAGCAGCACCGCGTCCTCTTCGTGGGGAGTGAGTGCTGCAGCATGAGGCAGAGCCCACACCAGCTCTCCCATTTCCTGAACTCTCACGCGCCAGCTGTGGAAGTCCATGCTTGGCTCTGGGTGGCCTTGCAGAGTGGCTGGCCATTCCTCCAAGATGCTGGCAAAGTGCCCACGGCGGGTCCCCTGTGAGGCGGCTTCGTGTCCTGTGGGACACCCAGTGCAGTTGTTCCTGTGGCTGTCACAGCAGATTGCAGTGAGGCTCCTACTGACAGCCAGTTGGTCTGTCCAGCACCAGCATGGACGCCACAGCATGACCCTGACCCTGTGTCTTTCCTCTGTTTGTCCAGCCCCTTTTATGGAGAAGACTTTTACTGTGAAATTCCTCGAAGTTTCCGTCATCTGTCATTCTACATTTTTGATAGAGATGTTTTCCGGAGGGATTCCATCATAGGTAGGTGCCTGGGTGGGTGTCCCTTCACTTTCTCTGCCCCTGCTGCTCGGGGTCTCATCTGGTGGAGGTGGGCAGGTCTGGTCTGGAGCCTTCCTGGTGGAGCTGGGTGGCCTGAGGGGAATGGCCTGCGGCTCGTGGGCCTGGTTGGGCCTCCCTGTACACAGGTCCTGGGTGAGCTGAGTGGGCTGTGGGTCTGCAGGTCTGCCCTTCCCTAGACAGGGCTTCCACCCCACCTCTGGCTCAGATCCCAGGCCAGTGGGCAGCAGGGGAGCCCACCTCTGGGGTGTAGGCATTGTCACCCAGTGCTCCAGTACCTTCTAACAGCCACTGGCATGTGCAGACCAGACGGCCATGGCCCAGCCCTCACCCCCCACCAGAAGGGGCTGCTCTCCCCAGGGACTTGGAAGCTCCCAGAGATTGTGAGATGCCCCTGGTGCAGATGTTCTGAAGTGTGTCTCTGGCCCGGATGTCTTTCCTGAGGATAGGGACTTGGGCTATGGGGGCTCTCTGAGGGCTCTGGGGTGCCCCTGTGGGGCCTGGTGGGAAGGGCCAGGGCCTGGTCATGCCATGGCCCTGCGGTGTAGACTCCAGGGCTGAGAGGTGAGGTCGGATTTACAGAAGCACCCGAGGAGGGGCCGAAAAGGCAGCCTGCAGAACAAGACCTCACGACCCCCAGCAGCACACCCTTCCACCCGGGTGCCAAGTGTCAGCACTCAGTGCGGAGTTCCCACCTGCGTCAGCGCAGATCCTGGATCCCTGGAGCCTGGGCCGACACACGGCCCTGCAGGCACTGTCTGCACTTGTGTGCTTTGAGCCTGACTTGGTGTTCGGGGTGCCAGCAAGAAAAGGCGTGCCAAATAGCCTGCGCCTGTCTGGTTCCCAACTGGCCCCAAGTCTGCTGGGCCGCTGCAGTGCAGGGTGGTGCTGAGTTGCCCCTGCAGGCCAGCCCAGCAGCACCGGCGGCCCCGTGTCCCAGTGTGTCTTGGTTTCTGCGACAAATACCCCAGCCTGGAACTTTGTGGACCAAGAGGCAAGTCCTGCTCACAGTTCTGAGGCCAGAGGCCCCGTGGCCCCTGTGACATCACAACGCCGGAAAGGAGACCCTGAGCACAGGAGACCCAGCATGTGGAGGGTCCAGTGTGACACATTCCTGGGAAGCAGGGCCATTCCTGCAGGAGGGTCGTCCTGGAGGCCAGGCCACAGGGAGGGAGGCTCTCAGGCTCTTTCATAGCGAAGACGGGCACTGCCGTGTAAGTTACAGAACACACAGGCGTGTAAAACACGTGACCATGTCCCCGGCCTGTCTCAGCTCCTGCAAATGAACAAACACCACGGGATGTCAGATTCCAGAGGCGCCCTCCTGAGCAGCCAATGGACCTCAGAGCCTGAGTTTTTCCTTATTCCTGTGAGACCACCTCATATCCCACGGAGGACAGAGGACAATTCTTGCAAGGGCCCTGTGGCCGCTGTAGAGGCAGGAGAGTGGCCAGTCGTACAGCCCTGCCTGCAAGTGGGCTGTGTCCCTTCCAGGAGGACAGAGTACCGGCTGCGTGAGTGACAGGTGGCAGGGCAGGAGCTGCTCCAAGGTGTCCCGAGGCTGTGCCTGGAGTGGGGTGCGAGGCAGCGGCCTCCTCTGAGCTTGTGAGTGGAGTCAGCAGTAGGCACGGGGCGAGGTGGCTGCCCCAGGGCCCTTCCTCTGGCACCTGGAAAGCTTCCCACACTGGTCGGCGCCTTCTGGGCCAGGCGTTTTAGGTATTTCCGGGGCTGTGGGCTCTGACGTGCAGGTGCCACACCCAAGCCCTGCCGAGGGCTGGACGGCCAAGTGCCTCTTCTGCTGTGTGTTCCAGGGAAGGTGGCCATCCAGAAAGAGGACCTGCAGAAGTACCACAACAGGGACACCTGGTTCCAGCTGCAGCATGTGGACGCTGACTCGGAAGTGCAGGTGAGGTGGGGAAGTGGCCCAGAACCTGGCCGGGTGCCAGGTGGTGAGAAGAGACGTAGCTCCAGGCCTTCCCAGGGAGGAGTGATCAGCAAACACCATGTCCCCTGTTCACAGGCAGGTTCTGAGCACAGGCTGATTTGCCAGTTCCTTTGGTGATCATCACACTTGTCGGGCAGATGGAAATGCTCTAAAAATCATAAAATAGCTGGGCACCAGCTGCCCGGTCCTGCCCTCTGCAGCACAGCTCACACAAGTAAGGTGGCAGGTGGTATGGATGGGGCCATGCTGCTGGGGTCAGATCCCTGAGGGCCCTCCCGAGCTGTGGACCAGGAGCAGCACAAAGGCCCATCACCACCAGCCGCCTGTCAGCCTGCATGGCTGTGGCCACGGTGTGTGGCCAAGCCCGCTGCAGGCCAGCCAGGCTTGCTCAGAGCCCAGCTGCCACACCCAGGAGTGATGTGCAAGACCTTCTGGTCTGGAGGGGGCACACTACAGGCTGGGTGCATGCATGTGGCTCAGCAGTGCTGGGTGCTGGCGTGACCTGGGCTGTGGCCATCACTGCTGTTTTTACACCTGGGGAGTGGCCTCATGAACAAAGTCCCTCACGTCCGTGTCCCGTGAGAACTTGTCCTGAGACTTCATTGGGAGCTACTGTGGTCAGCTGGCGAAGCTGAGTGCCACCCGTGCTGGCCTGCCTGCCTCACACCTCAGGGAACCTCTTCCTCAGCTGGGCTGTCTGGGCACAGTGCAGAGATCCAAGGTCACAGGCCACTCAGACCCTGTGGCCAGTGAGGGTTGGTCCACAAAGTTGATGGTGAGCCAGGCCTGGGGGGAGATGGGGTGTGAACTTCCCACCCTGGGGGACATACTTACTACTTAATTAACTCTGCCTCCTGGGAAAGCCTTGGCCAGAGCCCAAGTGAGCAGAAACCCAAGGTACTGATCACTGCAGAACTGGTGGTCACCGCAGAGCGGCACCTGCCCCTGTGTCAGCTCTGGCTTCACAGCCTGCCCTGCAGGGGTTCAGAAGGCAGCTGTGAGTGGGACCTGTGACCCCTGCCCCTCAGGCTGACCAGAGCCGCAGATCTGCTGCCAATGGGAGCAGCCTGCAGAGACTGCTTCCCCAGCTGGCTGGATCTTACTGGCAGGTGAGGCTTTTCCCATTTCTTGCCTTTTTCTATTCTTTCTATTTACGTAAGTTTGAAAAGGTTATAGATTTATGGAAAGTTGCTGAAAAGAGCACCCAGGAGTGAGGATCATCAGGCTGGTGCGTCCTCCCTGTGCCTGGAGGTGCCACAGCAGAGGGCGGCCCTGCCTGGCATCGCCTGCAGGCTGCGTTCAGGTCACACCATTTACACGTGTGGCTCTGTCCTGCGCAGCCCCACCCCCAGTGTGTTTGGTGTGGGCAATGGCAGACCACTGTGCAGGTCCCCCCGGGCCCCCACCCCGTCCGTCTCCAGAACTCTCATCTTCCCCAGCTCTGTCCCCCTGTCACCAGCTGCCAGCCTCCAGCACCTACTGCTCTATCTGATGGGCAGGGCCTCCTGGGAGCCGTCAGGCTTCTCCCTCCCCTGGGCATGGTGTCCTGGGCTTCCCCGAGAACGGGCTGGGACTCCCTTCCTCCCCAGGCTGGCAGCACTCCCGGGCGTGGAGGGACGCGCTTGCTCATGGGGGCGGCCCGTGGGTTGGCTCCATCCGTTGACTGGTGGGTATTCTGGGAGACTATCTGGCGTGTAGACTTGTGTCACTGCCACAGTCAAGATTCAGAACAGCTTTGTCACAACAAAGCTATAAATACTGTACACATGCAAGCCTGTGGTGGGCAGGACAGCTCCTAGCTGCTGCAGGAGGCAGCTGGGGTGGGGCAGGTCCCTCCACCCCGTGCAGGCTGCTGCCTCTGAATGCACATTCCGCCTCCTCCCTGCCAGTCTCCTGGGAACTTGGACAGCAAAAGGCAAGCGAAGCTCCTTGAAGGGCCAGAGGAGGACGTGTGGACAACCCCAACGGGTGCAGTGGACGCTGTGCTCAGTGCTTCTCTGCTAGGCCTGGCTCTGGACATTTCTCACCCACAAAGTGGCTGAGATGGGGAGGCGGCTTCTCTGCCTCAACCTGACCTTCAAGTTGCAGGACCCATCTTTGCTCTCATTTCAAAATGTCAGTCACAGTTTTAGAAGGGCAGAGGGCAGCCTCTGGCTTCCTGGGTCTACTTCCCTGTAACTCACAGGAAGCAGGCTGGTGAAAGAGGGCCATGGTGTGGGCAGTACCTGGCCACAAGGCAGAGGGGGAAAGGCAGGTGAGCAGCCTCTCGCCTCCTTCTGGAATGGCCGGCTTTAGAGGTCTTGGACAAACGCTTCACTACGCAGGCCTCGTCACCTCTGTCCTCACCCCCCACGTGGAGAGGGCAAGAGCAGGGCCCAGCGTCCTGCAGTGCTCAGGGTCCTAGGCACTGAAGGATAGGGGGCAGCTGCCAGCCCTCCACCCCTGCTCCAGTACACCCTGCGCAGGGCGGAGAACCGACCTAGAGTCATCAAGGCCCCGGCTTCCGCCACCCCAAAGACAGCCGGCCCAGAGAGAGGGGGAGACTCCGTGGCTCCACGACATCGAGGAATTTTGCCTTGTGTGTGTCAGACAACTCGAAGGATGACCAAGGACCAGCTTGGCTCTCACAGAGGGCCCGAGGGGGCGGGATGGGTGAGGTGGGCCAGGCCTTCCTCTGCTTCTCTTCTGTCCCCTGTTTCCCTGGGTCCTCGACGTTGTCTTCTCTCCCCACAGTCTCTCTGGGCCAGGCCCAGGACAGCCTGGACCAGCTCTGCAGGGCACGGCCACACACAGGGAAGGCCTTGCTGAGGAAATGTGCAGGGAGCCCTGGGGGCTTTTAAAAAATGAATAAGCATTATTTATTTATTTTGGGCCGTTGTGAACTATAGGGAAACTGAGCAGAACAGAGTCCCATGTGCCCTGCCTGACCCAGTGCTGGGGTCTTATTGCTACTGGACACCTGGGTTCACCCTGGGGTCAGGCTTGTGCCATGGCTAAGGCCGTCTCTGTGCACACCTGCTACCCATATGCACCTGCTACCTGTGCGCCTGTGGTCACCCTGTGGTCGCCCTGTGGTCGCCCTGGGTGGTGCCCTGTTTTTGGCCTCGGGAGTTGTGCTGTCTCTCTTTTGTTCGTGGTCAGCCTGGCTAAGGTCTCTTGTCTTATTCATCCAGAGGACGTTGGCTTTTGTTCCCCTGTTGATTTCCTCTTTTCAGTTTCACCCATTTCTGGTCTAATTTCTATCACCTCCTTTGTCTGCCTTCTGATTTAATCTGCTCTCCTCGTCTAGATGAGGTCACTGATTTGGGGTCCTTCCCTGCTTCCAGGAAGCGCGGCCAGGGCTCTGAATTTCCCTCCCAATAGTGCTTTTGCAGCATCCACAAATTCTAATAAGTTTTAGTTTCTTTTTTTAATTCATTTCAAAATATTTTGAAATTTCTCTTGCGTTTCCTGTCTGACATGCATGACCTTGAGAGGTGTGTTGTGTGATCTCTGGGTAAGTGGGGTCCAGCTGTCTTTGTTACTGATTTCTAGTTGAACTCCCACGTGACTGATGGGACTTCCAGGTGTGTCCAGGGTAGTCTGGTGACAAGGTGATGATCGTCTCTGCCCTGTGGTTTGGAGGGAACAGCACTTGGAAGCAGCCACCGGCAGAGCTGCCCACCTGGCTTGGCTGAGGACACTGTTCACTTCCAGCACTTTCCTAGCTTCTCCACATCATTGTTCAACTTACATAAGAAGGAAGGGCCAGTGGTCAGGCAGCCCCAAGGCCACTGTTCTCTTGGAGAGAACAGCTGCCCACAGGACACCTGCCCACCCATCAGGCCCAGCAAGGGCTGACAGGTCAAGGAAGCTGTGGTCCCGAGTCCCCTGGGCGGGCTGCCCCAGTCCCGAGTCCCCTGGGCTGGCCATGAAAGCGCAGTGCACAGGTGTGCTCCAGGAGGCTGTGCTCACTGCCATCAACAGTAGGGCGTGACCCTTGAGGGTCGGGGTTATTTGTGCCAGGAGGTCACAGCACCCTGGAAGGCACTGCCTGTCACTGCCCGCGCAGGAAGGAGGCCACATGTGTTGACGAGTGGAGTGCTGAATCTGGGTGGCTCCCAGGCAGGAGGGCCGGGGTGTGCAGCTTTGCTGCCTTCACCCGGCCCCGCCTCTCCCAAGCCTCCTGAAAGGAAGGCCAAGCAGCTGTCCAGCGGCCACCCTGGCCAGCAGCACTGGGGGCTGCTGGGGAAAACAGGAAGCAGGAAGGAAGCTGCCTGGCGCTGTTGGCCGCAGGATGGCGATCTCACCCAGCACGTTCCTTAACCTTCCAGAGGCCACTGGAACAGATTCAAGCTGGGTCCTTCCCAGCAGCCTTGGACACCCCCAAAATCAGGCCTTCAAAGAGTTGGTCCTTGGGTGGAGGGGCCAGACTTCAAGAGACTGCCTCCTGGTGGGCCCACCTTGGGTCCTAAGTGCTGGCCCTGTACCCTCTTAAGCCCTAGGACGAGGCCACAGTGCCCACTTTACAGATGGAGAGAACTCGGTGTCGACTCAGCTCCAGCCGGGCCAGCACTCCGTGAAAGGGAAGTGCAGAAACAGCCCTGGTGGCCATGATTCCCTACCCCACCTTCCTGGCTCCCGCTGTCACCAGCCTCAGGCTTTGCTCTCAGGCCAGGTCACAGCGAGTCCAGCCCCAGTCACGTGGGCCTCAGAGCAGTGAACCCGCAGAGAGGCTGCGAGCCCAGGGCATGTGGGCAGCAGGGGCCCTGTTGCTTGGTGCCCAGAATTCAGACCTGATGAAGTGGTGGGGACATCACAGGGCCACCAAGGTCCTTGCAGGTGATGCTCAGAGGTGCTGAAGGTACCTGTGCGGAACTGGCCATTCATTCCTCAGGAGGTGAGCCATAAGTGGTCAGGTGCCACAGGGGGGACCCAGCAAGGGTCCACAGGCTCAGGGCAACATGGTCACCATCATGCCACAAAGCAGGGACACCCAGGCGCTCTCCAGGTCCTGGCTTTCCCCGGGGGCGTGGGCTTCCTCCCTTCTCAGGGTGTGCAGCTGCTGTCTGGTGCTCTCGTCCAGTTCTGAACACTGGACATGCTGCCTGCCCATCACTCAGATCCTCGTACAACTGGGGGAGAAGCCCAGAAAGGCAGGCCCTGACCCTGCCTGAGGAGAGGGGTGTGGGTCATCACAGGGACGCACAGCGGGACGTTCTCAGCTTCCGGTCACTCTGCTGTCTTCTCTAGCACCCTCCAAGGGTGCTGGCTTGGGTTCCCTGGCTTCTCCAGGAGGGTGTGGGGGCAGGGCTCAGGGGACGCCAGGGGCTCTCCCACCTTTGCCATGCTGCCCACAGGTTGTGGCGAGCCCAGCCTCGGGTGGTGTGAGCGGGCAGCAGCACGTCTGGAAGTGCTTTGCTGAGTCTGTCCTAACACCTCTGGACCTCTCTTCAGAAACAGCGTGTGCACACAGCGGGGAGACTTTGGCTATCCCAGAGAGGCCTTGTCCCAGTGTCCAAGTCCTGGGTGTCCTCCTGGGGGCCAGGTAGCTTTCCCGCAGTCGCTTCTCCTCTGTGACCTTCTGTCCTTGTGCCTTGCAGGGGAAGGTCCACCTGCAGCTGAGGCTGAGCGAGGTCATCACGGACACAGGCGTTGTCTGCCACAAGCTCGCTGCACGGTAAGACACACCGAGGGGGTAGGTCCCGACCAGCTCCCCTGGGGACCTTGCGTCAGTCCTTCCGTCCTCAACAAGCCAAGACCTATGCAGGGTGGGCGCAGGCCTTCGGCAAAGTTGTGGCGTTGCCTCCCCGGCATCAGAAGGGAGGAAGGGGTCCGGCAGTTGGAATCAGCCTCCTACCAGGTCTGCCTGACCGCGATGCTTGGTTTATGCGGGGATGCTCGGGGGCAGACACCCGTCTAAAGTTGGGCTCTTGGCCCTTCAGGGTGGTGGCCCTGCAGTGACTGTAGGAAGCGAAGGGCCCCAGAGGAGGCTTCAAGGTGCCTACTCCATTCTGCACAGGTGCTGTGCAGCCCGCCCCAGCCATGGTGCACACACTGGCTGACACCTGTCCTCTGGGCAAGCCTGGCCTCTAGCTGGCTAGGCCCTCTGCGTCCCTCCTTTTGCTGCCCAAGAGTGGCCATCATGTCTCCTGTCCCCGCCCTCCCAGATCTCATGACCTCTGCGCCTCCACAGAGAGCCTAGGGTGGGCGAGGGCTGCTGGGGAGCCTGTCCTTCACTGAAGGTGCCCAGGTGTGCTCTGACAACAGGGCCTGTCTCAGTCCGTTTCCGGGAGCGCTAACAAAACCCTGAGCCTGGTGGCTTGTAAGGAGCAGAAGTTTACAAGGCTGCAGTTCTAGTGAGGCCTCGTGCTGCGTCCTCACAAGTGGACATCCTGTGGCAGGCAAGTGAGCCTGCTGTGGCCTCTTCCTCTCCTGGGAAGGGCCACCCATAGGTGACTTTGGGGACCAAGTGTCCAACCCAGGAGCCTCGGGAACACACTCATGACATCTCTCAGGATAGAGTGAGGACCCCAGGGACTCTCTTCTATGTCCACTCTGTCCCTCCTGCCACATCCTCACCAGCAAGGACGGCACTCTCTCCACCCTCCTCTCCCACCCCAGCACAGCCTCCTGGTGAAAATCAAGCTATTCTCCTGCTCCCTGCTCCCTCCTCCATCCACCCTCCTCCCTCCTCCATCCACCCTCCTCCCTCCTCCATTCACCCTCCTCCCTGCTCCATTCACCCTCCTCCCTCCACCCTCCTCCCTCCTCCATCCACCCTCCTCCCTCCTCCATTCACCCTCCTCCCTGCTCCATTCACCCTCCTCCCTGCTCCATCCACCCTCCTCCCTGCTCCATTCACCCTCCTCCCTGCTCCATTCACTCTTTTCCCTTCTCCCTCCTCCATTCACCCTCCTCCCTGCCCCATTCACCTTCCTCCCTGCCCCATTCACCCTCCTCCCTGCTCCATTCACCCTCCTCCCTCCTCCATTCACCCTCTGCCGCAGTCTGGCTGGGCACAATCAGGAGCCACTTGTCAAAAGAAACTAACTTTATTTTTAGAACCACACACGCCAAACAAAACAGCCTCTCAGGAAAAACCCTCAGAGCCTCAACTGCCACCACCGGCTTTCCCCAAGCCTCTCTCTCCCCCACAAGCTTCTCTCCACCTCCCACAATCCTCCTGCTCTTGAGGCCGATTGGCTGGGTCACGTGGGCGGAGCCAAAAAAGTCCCCCAATGAGCAGCTCCGTGGTCTGAAAGGGCAGGGAAACAGCCCAATGAGCATCACCGCAGAGGAGCCAATCAGCTAGATGTTGCTGGGGCCGCTGTGAGCCAATCATCAGCCGGCAGCTGGAAGTTTGCTGGGGCCCCTTCGGCTGTGGCTCTCAACAACCCTCCTCCCTGCTCCATTCACCCTCCTCCCTCCTCCATTCACCCTCCTCCCTGCTCCCTCCTCCACTCACCTCCTCCTTGCTCCATCCACCCTCCTCCCTGCTCCATTCACCCTCCTCCCTCCTCCATTCACCCTCCTCCCTGCCCCATTCACCCTCCTCCCCAATCCCTCCTCCATTCACCCTCCTCCCTGCCCCATTCACCCTCCTCCCTGCTCCATTCGCTCTTTTCCCTTCTCCCTCCTCCATTCACCCTCCTCCCCGCTCCCTCCTCCATTCACCCTCCTCCCTGCTCCCTCCTCCATTCACCCTCCTCCCCGCTCCCTCCTCCATTTATCCTCTTCCCTGCCTTCTCTACCCTTTCTGTTCCCCTTCTCTGCTGTCCTGCCCAGGGGCCTGGGCAAGGGTCCCATGTGCATTTCCACTTCCAAGCTCACAGACCAGAGTCTTGTGAACTGACTAAGCCACCCTCTGGCCAGGCCACCGACTGTCAGGTGAAGTAGTTTTGGAGGGGCATCTGCCAGGGGAAGACTCCTTTTAAAGCTTCCAGTAGAACCTTAAGCCCAGTGAAGACCTCGTTTTCCATTATTGGAAATTACAAAAAGGAAAGCGCTATAGGCTATAGGTTTGCAGCTCTTTCGAGGCTCAGGAAACCCCCAGAGCCTAGCCCTAGGTCAGAGCACGGGGCTGAGTGCAGGTGGTGCAGGGGAGCGGTCCTGGCTGACGGTGGTCCAGGCTGAGGGCAGCCCTGCATCCCTGAGTGCAGGGCAGGCAGAGCTGGAAGCCACCAGCTTCCCAGGCACCGGAAGGCGGAGGCCCACATCAGCTCCACACGGCCGCTGGTGCGTGTTTTGAGATAGGCTGCATATCAAAACCTGTGATGTCAGCTGCAAAATGGTGTCCTTCTTCTTCAGACCCAGAAAGGCCGGCGGGTCCAGCACAAGGCTCCCCAGAGCACCAGGGTGGGACACTCAGTGATATGTCCTCCTGTCCTCATTTGTGCACAAGATGCTCCCATGTTCACAGAGATGATTCTGTGCAGTCGGTCCTAGATAATGTATAGTACAGGGACATCCCTGTTCCCAATAAAACAAATCTGGTTTTCTGCTGTCTTGGGCAGCCCAGCACAGAGCCTGTGTCGCGCAGCTGGGCCAGGGCTGAGGGTGCTAATGTGGGTGTTTTCGGCACGTGCATGGTAGGAGCCGGCTTCTGCTTTCGCTCTGAAATGTCTGTACGCTGCTGGGGGCCATCTTTGCCTTGAGCCAGCACGACGCTCCTCATGCTGGTCTCTGAAGAAGTGAGAGGTGCTGCTGTGCACTTTGCATGCTCTCCCTCAGGGTGTCCATCACATGCCCGCTCAACCTCTGGGCCTCCCTCCATGCCCGACCCCACAGAAGTCATGGGATGTTTGCAGAGGATGCAGACCCTGTGATGGGGAGGGCCTGAGACTCCTCTGATGTGGGTGAGCTGCTCTCCCACCAGCTGCCCCAGGCTCACCCCTAGGGCCCTGCTGCCTGCGGGATCTGCCTCGTACACACAGCTCTGCTGTTGAATGGAGCCCGTGCTCATCGCACAGAGTTCTAGAGAGGTAGGTAGACAGGTAGGTAGTGAGTAGATAGGTAGACAGACAAGCAGGTGGGTAGGGAGGAGGTAGTTAGCAGGCAGGAGACAGGTAGACGGCCTTACATTCTTACCTACCGTCTCCCGCTTGGCTGCCCGCCAGCCAAACAGCAGTGAGTCTCTTGGACACCTCTGCCCAGCTGGCGATCTACTCCTCTTCCTGGAACAGTGCCCAAGAGGTGGTAGGGGTCTTTGGTGGGCGAATCGGTGGACCAGCCGGTGTTTACTTAGTGGATGAGTTGATGGTCAGAGGAAGGTGACCCAGGACCATCTGACTGTCCAGAAAGCAGCGGCGCAGGAGAGCAGGGCAGGAGAGGAGGGACGCCAGTCAGCCCGCAGGTGAGGAGGGCCCGGCGGGCACGGGCAGCCCTCCCAGGCCCCCGGTGCCAGGAAGAGGAAAGGGGATATGCGGGTCCAACAGGAGGCCCTGGAGGGCAGCAGGCACTCTGGCGGCAGCATGTGGAGCAGTGTCTTCTCTCCTGATGGAGGGAGAGGTACCGGGACACCAAGGTCAGAGAGCCCGTCACTCAGGACCAGGTGAGGATGCCTGCTCCTGACCTGGTGGGCAACCAGACTGGGTCCACGTCACCCACACAGCCACACATCGTGTGCGTGGACAGTGGACAGACCCACCTCCAGCATGAACAGGAGGGCTGGGGCCCAGCACTAGTCCCCGCAGGGCAGGCGAGTCGGGGTGGGGTCCTTGGGCCCAGGTGGGTGTGAGAGGCCAGAAGAGCTGGGCTGGCGCTCTTCGACCTCCCAGCCCAGGGCCCCAGAGGATGGCAGGGACTTTATGGTACAGCCTCCCTAGAAGGAAATTCCATGACCATCCCAGAGAGTGGACATGGCTACTGCCCAGAGCCGAGCTGCAGCCCAGCTCCTCACAGGGTGGTGTTGGAAAATTCTGGACACTAAGAATCACAATGTCCAGCATCTGCTCAAAAACTCCACGAAATGGAAAATGTGATGCCAGCCTAGAAAGGAACGGCAGAGCTGGTGGCCAGCAGAGGAGGCCAAGGACTCAGAGGGGCTGTGAGCCAGAGGGCACTGGCTCCGGCAGCAAACGTGGTGACCCAGGACCCGTCCCAGGTGCTGCAGAGAGGCCTGTGGTGTGGCCGCCACCCGAGTCCTAGGCCAGAAGCCTACTCCGGGGGCCCAACGAGTCCAGTCCAGCCCCTCACAGGAAAACAAATGGACAAGTATGGTGACCAGAGGAAAGGGGCGGTGTGACACGGCCAGGCTGGGAACAGCAGGCGTGCCCAGTGCGACAGGAGTCTAGGTTGAGTGGGCGGGAGGCTGCCCAGTAGGAGCCTTGGTGGGCTGGGACTGGCTGGTCACTTACTAGGGGTCGGTGCTGCTCGGGAGGAGTCCTGGCTGTGCCGGGGCGGGCCCCACCTGCTCCGCAAGCTGCTCGTCCAGGAGGCCTGGGCCGTGAAGGGCATTCCGTTCCCATGGGTGACTGCGCCTCTTGGGGTTCTCATCATGGGTGACCTGCCCAAAAGGTCCAGTCCTCCTGGAAGGAGTAGGGCGATGGCCACCACCCAGGAGTCCGAACGGGATGCTCTAACAGTGGGCGACCCTGCTGATCTCAAACGCTCTGTCTCGGTGTCTTTGGCCTTGACGAGGGGATAACCGGCGTTGGACGGACACTCCCTGAATGCCTGAGCAGGAATCTGACCCCTGCTTAAGGTGATGAAGGGGTGAAGATGCGAGGTCATGTGGCTCTCGGTCCCCATCGGCCTCTGAGGGCCCAGGTGAAGGGCCGGTGCTCTGCTCTGCCACAGAGGCTCTGTGTGGCTGTGGCATGGACTTCAGGCTGATGGGCAGTGGGGAGCAGTGCTGGGCCCCTGGCTGGGCAGGGCTGGGCACTGCTGCGAGCCTGTGGGCCTCAGCCAAGCAGCTTCCAGAGACACGTCCTGGCTATTAACCTCCACCACTGGACGGTGAGGAGACAGCCTCAGCGCCCTCCAGACCTGGAAGGAGGCCGACCAGGTCTGCCTGCAGCTGCAGGTCCCCTCCCCTGACCACTGTCCTGTCTCTCTCAGCATCCTCGAGTGCCAAGGCCTGCCCATAGTGAACGGGCAGTGCGACCCCTATGCCACCGTGACACTGGCCGGACCCTTCAGGCAAGTTCCTTTCCTGTCCTGCCCCTGTGTCCTTCTGGTCCTGGGGGGCTGCGGAGTGGCTGCAGGTCCAGCTCTGGAACCAGAAAGCCAGCACCTCCTTTAGAGAGTGAGGCTGGTGCAGTTTGGGTGGAATATGTCAATTTGACTCCTTTTTGTGTTGTTTGTTGCTCTAACGTTACTTTGTGAAGGAAGGCCGCCCTGTGGCCTTCACACTGGTGTTTTTGGCTCAGCGAAAGCTCCTGACTTGCATGCCACCTGGAGGTGGGACAAACAGGGATGTTTATGAGACGAATAAAGGCAGAAGCTACTGCAGGATAGCTCCGTTTCAAGACAGATCTGCAGCCAACGGTGTCGTTTCTGGTCCTAACCTTCCTCTCTTGACTGCAGATCAGAAGCCAAGAAGACGAAAGTGAGAAAGAAGACCAACAACCCCCAGTTTGACGAAGTGTTTTACTTTGAGGTTGGTACCGGAGCAGGGTGAGCACAGAAAGCCCACCCGGCATTCTGGTGGGTGTCCATCGCCTGGAGGGGCTGCCCCTCAGCCCAGGGCCTCTCCTCCCTCCCTGGGAAGAAAGCTGCTTGTTCTTCCCGGCCTGGCCCAGAGCAGGGGAGTGACAGCGTACTGCTGCCCAGTCCCCAGGACGGGGCTTTTGACTGCTGCTGGGTTTTGGGGCTTTTTATTTTTCTGGCTGTTCCACCCCAGTTTCCCTCCTCAGGGTGAGGCTTGTTTCACCGGAAACATGAGGGTTTGAAGCAAAAGGGGAAATGATTCAGACCCAGAGGTCTGCTGGCAGCTCCTTAGAGCATGTGGCAGAACTAGAGGAGGGTGAGGCTGAGGTTGCGCAGGCAGGCACGGGTGGACACCGCCCTGGGCGTGAGGGGCATGTGGCAGTGTCCTTCCCAGCGTGTTTCACACACACACCAGGCTCTGGCAGAGAGGGGCATTCACAGGGGAGGGTGGGCAGGAAGGCAGGTTTACTGCAGCCTCAGGGTCCCTAGGCAGGTGCACCATGGTCAGAGGACGTGGGAAAGCTTTCCCGGTCCAGATCACCTTCCCAGCTGGGCCTGCCTGTCTCTAATGTGCAGAAAGCAGGTTCCATTTGCTAAAAACATGGTCTCCACCCACTGGGTTAACTCATGTGGTGACCTAGCTGAGACTGAAAGCCCAGGTCTGGAGATGCCACCTGCACCTCCCTGAGAGCCAACCTGGTGGGTTGCTGTTCAGGCAGGGTCCCTGCTCCCCTGAGCCCCAGGCCTGAGGGCAGCATGCTGCTGGACCAGCCCTTCTGCCCTCAACTCAGTGACTCCATTTGGCTTGGAGCCTCAGGTACCAGGGCCTCCTCATTGCCACCCTGCCTCCTGGTTGGGCCAGTGCAGAAGCCTCCAGGAAAGGGGCCCATGACCAGGGCTGTGCAGCTCCCCCGGAGCAGAACGGGGTGCAGTAGCAACAGCCCCCAGTCCATGTTTTTCCATAACGACCCGAGGACACATCTAAAGCCAGCCAGTCTGAACCGCACAGAGCCGCCTTCGCCTGACAGCAGCAAGCTCCAGCTGCCAGTGGCAGCAGGCACTCCGTGGGCAGCAGGTGCTCCGTGGGCAGCAGGCGGTGGTCAGGCCAGTGTGGGGCAGAGTGAGCAGATACACTGACAGCAGCACCAGAAGCCTGCTTAGCAGGGGAGCCTCTGACAGAGGACAGGGGCTTCCTGGAGGAAGTGGCATTTCAGAGACCCCTGCAGGAGGTCATGTGACCCTCTGGAGCAGGCTGGCAGAGATGCAGCCAGGAGGAGACAGGGAGCGCACCCAGGACCCTGCTAGCTTTACAGTTGCAAATTAAACTTGGAGGCTCAGGGATTTAAACAGCATGACCTGGTCAAGTTCCGGATTGCAATACAGCTCCAAAAGCTTCTAGATTTGCATCAGCCCACTGATATGAAGAGGAGGCACAGCCAGCCTGGAGGGGCAGTGCCCCTGTGAAGGGCCATGATGGGCTGCAGCAGGTACTGCCAGCTCTGTGGGGCTGCTGGTGTGTGCTGGGCCTCCACTGGGCCTCCACCACTGCACCTGGCCTCCAGTTCCTCTGCTCCCTCCTGTGTTTTGAGAACTGCCAACCCCTGCAACGTTGGGAGGCACAATGCTTGATCTTTCCGTTTTCTGACACTCACCGGGTGCAGACCTGTGGAGCTGCTCTTGAGGCTGCAGGACCGACAATAGAGCAGGCTGCACCTGGTCACAGGGTTGAGGGCAGCTCCTTGAGTAGGTGTCCTTGTAACAAGCCAGGGCTGGAAGGGAAGCTGCAGGAGCAGTGGAGCTGACCAGGGATGGCCGGGCCCTGCCTGTCTGGGGGCTGAGGCAGCCCACTGCACACTTTCTTGCCCCTCCTGGCAGAATGCAGCCTCTGCTGTGGCGCTCAGTGGCCTCGGGGCTGTGGGGACAGTTCCCAGGTCAGGAGATCGCACTTGAAGCCTGAATCGTGCCCCAGCCCTTCCTGGTCTGGCTGGTCCCAGAACAGGGGGCTGTCCTCTCTGGGCTGCAGGATACAGTGCCACAGGCTCCTGGTGGCTGGGCTGTGGGTCTGAAGTCCTCTTTCTTCACCTGACACCAGGTCACCAGACCCTGCAGCTACAGCAAAAAATCTCACTTTGATTTTGAGGAGGAAGACGTGGACAAACTTGAAATTCGGTGAGTGGAAAGTCAGGCCGTGCTTCCCACTGGGCAGTTCAGTCTGAACTCGGCTCCTTTGTTGTTTATTTAGTGTCTCAAAGAAGGGGCAAGGATAGAAATGCACTGCACTTCGTGGTGATTTAGCACCAGGATCATAGGCGTGCTGACCAAAGAGCCTGCCTCTAACCTGGTAGACATTAGGGGTTGGTGAGGAACGCCTGCTGTGCAGCCAGCCGGCTGAGCTTCCGGGCTCCTGGGCAGTGTCTGGGTGAAGGGTCTGCCAGGATTCGTTCACCAAGACCACCCAAGGCCATGTGTGGGAACGCAGTGGCCACTTCTGTTTGGGATCTTGTTCTAAAGGCCTTAGGGCACAACCTGTGCTTGTCAGAGACCAGGTCAGTTTTAGAGAGCACCAGGGCCGCCACCCCCCCCACCCCATCCCATAGCACTGGCCTTTGGAATCCTGCTGGGTGCAGATCTGTGGTATGCAGCTCCTCTCTGAGCAGGTCCCTCACACATCCTCAAGGCTCTGCGTCTGTGGGCTGGACACCCCTGTGGGGCCTGTGTGTGTCCTCCTGCTCTGCCCATGCACACATCATGGCGGCTGGGCCTTCTGTGAGTGCTCTCCTGGGCGCCTTCCTCCAGGGCACTGATATTCTCCGAGGCTTCAGGACAGTGGCTTGGGGATTGTTCTGCTCCAGTCTGGAGCCTCCCACCCACTGTGAAGAGGCAGATGCAGGGGGAAGGGGAGGGGAGGTAGGGCCCAGAGAATGTGCCAGTCGTCTCTTTTCTGACCCTCCACCTCTGCGCTGTGGCTGCCTGGGATGCTCCTGCTGCCATCTAAGTTGTTTGGTCAGGACTCCCACGGGGGCCAGCACAGTGGGGTAGAAGGACTCCAGCAGCGCCTTCCGCTCCCCACAAGCTCACCTGTTTCTGGCGGAATACCTTGACCCTCTTGGTGAACCGTACTCACTGGCACTGGTAAGGACAAGGGAACCACACTGGGTCTCCTAGAGTCTCTCCAGCAGGCACCTGTGAGACTGTCAGTCCCAGGGCAAAGCTGGCTGGGCCCCAGGCTGTCAGTCAGACAGCTCTGTGGCTCAGAATCCCAGGGAGCACAAGCCTTCTCCCAGGAAAGGGGCCGAGAGCCTCTGCGGTGCTAGGCTGGACTCCTCGGAACACAGTGTGGCCTTGTCTGAGTGCCAGCTCCATGCAGACCTGGCCACAGCCCTCCCTGGGCGGGGTGTAGGCAGCCTGCAGAGGTGGAATCTGAGTTCAGGGTCCTGGGCTGCCACTTCCACACTCACAGGCAGGTCCCACAGGTTGACCTCAGGCCAGGCCTGTGAAAGCATTGTGGGCTGCTCCTTCCTGGGTTGGGCACAGACTGGGCAGTGCCTCAGCTCCACTGCACGCAGCAATGCCCGCAGGTGCCCTCTGCCACCAGCCAGGAGAAGCTGAGTCCTGGGGCCTGCTGCCCCCAGGCCCCGGCTCGGGAAGTGCCGGCCTTTGATTCCAGCTGCCCTGGAGCAGCAGGCCTCTGCCCTCAGCCACCCTGGTTGGCTGTGGTCAGTGTGGGTCTTTGCTGAATGGCTTCAGGACTGGAGGCCTTTACGCAGCTCCCCTGGGAGGTAGCCACCATGCTCTGCCCAGGGCTGCCCTGCTCAGGTGAGGGCTGAGTGCCACTCCTCTCTCTCAGCGTCGACCTCTGGAACGCCAGCAACCTCAAGTTTGGAGACGAGTTTCTGGGGGAACTGAGGATCCCACTCAAAGTGCTGCGACAGTCCAGCCCCCATGAGGCATGGTAGGTGGCTGCACCATCAGCGCCAGCCAGGCGAGCCGTGCTTGAGGCCGCCCTCTGCCCAGGGGGCCGCCTGCGGGTCCCACAGAAGCAGGGCCAGCACCACATGGCCAGCTAGAGCTAGGCCCCCTGCTTCTGCAGAGCAGGTCCCAGCCCCATCAAAGGTGGCCACTGAAGCCCACCCAAGGTCAAGGGCCTTCATATAGGACCTGCAGCCTACGGGTCTCCAGCAGCCTGACCAGGGAAGTCTAGGTGGAGAGAGGTGACCAGACGGGATAGAACCGAGGGAAGGGTTCCCCTCAGAAGCCCCTAGAGCAACGTGGCCACCGCACAGGCCAAACCTCCCTCTGACACCGAAGCCACGCCACCTCGTGGAAGGGCTCCAGCGTGGCTGGTGTGGCAGCGCTGATCTTCAGGGCGATGCCTGACCACAAAGCTTCCCCGCCCACTCTTCCTTCCAGAACGTGCACTGCCTCCCCTTCTTGCCCTCTTCTCTCCCCTCCTGCTCCTAGGGACTCTCTCTTCTGTCTGTGGCCCTGTGGGTGCCCCAAGAGACCACGCCCTCAGGTGTCCCGCAGAAGGGCCTGGAGCTCCGCAGGATGTCTGAGGCCGGGCTCCTGGACTCCACCTCACCGGCACCTGCCTCCCTCCAGGTACTTCCTCCAGCCTCGAGACAATGGCAGCAAGAGCCTGAAGCCCGACGACCTGGGGTCACTGAGGCTGAACGTGGTCTACACGGAGGACCACGTCTTTTCTTCTGACTACTACAGGCCCCTGCGGGACTTACTGCTGAAGTCTGCGGACGTGGAGGTGTGTGGCAGCCAGCTCTCCAGCCTCAGGGCAGAACTCTGGTGTGGGGTCCCCCCCAGCACCCACGCCTGCCTCCCACCCCGCCAGGCCCAGCCCAGGCCTACCACCCCAGCCCCTCTGCCACTGTGGCCACAGAGCCTTGCTGTGCAGACCTTCTACCTAGGACTGTGACCCGCGTCTGGTCTGCCCAGACCCCAGTGCTGCTCGCTGGCTGGGACCCCACCCCTCTATTACAGCTAGGCCTGTGCACACTGGGGGTCTTGATGTGGGCAAAGAGCTGTTCAGGCGCTGACCCACCCTCCCCTGAGTGGGGGGTCTGGGGCCCTCAGGCACTGCTCCTGGGAGTGGGGTGCCCATGAGGGGCTGGTGTGGTGGGGAGCTCGCCACTCACAAGGTCTCTGCACAGCCTGTGTCTGCGTCAGCGGCCCACATCCTGGGCGAGGTGTGCAGAGAAAAGCAGGAGGCAGCCATCCCGCTGGTGCGGCTCCTGCTGCACTATGGCCGGGTGGTGCCCTTCATCAGTGCCATCGCCAGCGCAGAGGTGAAGAGGACCCAGTAAGTGCCATGTGCCCCCCCCCTGCCCTGCCCAGTCCTGTCCGCTGCACCTGACCTCTGGTCCCATGGTTCCACCCTACAACCTCAGCCCCCTGCCCCAGGGCCCTCCAGTGCCCTCTGTCCACCCCACATCCAGCCCCTACCTACGGCAGCAGTCCAGAACCAGTTCAAGCACAGGTTTGAGGGCCGTGAGGTTGAGGGCTCCCCAGGAGCCAGGAGAGTTCAGGGTCACACACTGTGTTGACTTCTCTGGGAGAACTGAGGAGAGCATCTGGGAAGGAGGGACAGGATGCTCTCCTGGGGACAATCGTCCTGCTCTGGGAGCTGCAGGTCCCTGGGAGAGCTCCCTCTGGAGTCTAGGGCTAGAGGATGTGCTGCTTCCCCAGGACCGTGCCTGGAGGCCTTGTTGATGGAGAACTAGGGAGTGACACTGCAGGTGACCAGTGTCCAGGCCACTAAGTTTTGTCTCCCCTGGCCTCATGAAGCACCTGAGGCTTTGAAGCAGAGACGCCTGGATTCTCTGAGAACACTTCACAGGGCGGAGGCCAGCTCCGAGCTGACCAAGGGCAGCATGGGGCAGCATGGGAGACCCTGTCACTTCACAGCAGACCCTGGAGCGCTCCTGTCCACTCTCGATGACTGATGCCTAGGGATGGGTCCCGCTCCTTCTGCCTCCAGGAGATGACAATCACCCCCGCCCCCCTGTTTTCCAGGGATCCCAACACCATCTTCCGAGGAAACTCGTTGGCATCCAAGTGCATAGACGAGACCATGAAGCTGGCGGGCATGCACTACCTGCATGTCACCCTGAAGCCCACCATAGAGGAGGTGAGGCCAGGGTGCCCCACCAGAGCCAGCACCCAGCAGCCCAGGTGGTTCATGTCCTTGGCTTCGTGAAGAGGGTACTCTGCATGTTCCAAAGTCTTCATTGCTTTCTCAAAGAGAAAAACACTTTAAAACCCCGTATTCTGTTAGAGAGCAGGACTCGTAAGAAGACCTGACTTTTCCCAGGACCCACCTTTCCCACATTCTGTGGGTCCCTGCGTCCCCTGAGCACTGCAGCTGTGGCAGTCCCTGTCCAGGCACTGGCCATTCACTTGCCTGACCCCTCGTGGCTGCCCCAGCACCTCTGTGTCCCTCTGTGTCTCTCCTCTGGCCCCTGCTGCACGTCCTGCCGGGACACTCTGACCTCAGAATAGGTTTCAAATCTAGGGACCTCAGACAGTGCTCTGCCTTGGTCTGTGGGCGGAATCGTGGCAGTGCTTTAAGTCACAACCTTCTCAAACATCTCTGAACAGATGTGGATCTGTCTGGAAGACTCCTGGCGTGGCCTCAACTGAGGGCTGCCCCTGCCTCCTGGCTAGGGGGCTGGGTGTGCTCCTTGTGGCCCTGCAGTCCAGGCCCGAGTGCTCTGCCTGGCCTCGGGCAGTGCCCTCTTCTTCATGTCCTTCCAGATATGCCAGAGCCACAGGTGCTGTGAGATAGACCCCGTGAAGCTGAGGGATGGCGAAAACCTCGAGAGCAACAGGGTGAGGGGCCGCTCTGTCCCAGGACTCTTCCAAAGCCTCCTGGTGGGGGCTTCGGCCTGGGGCCTCTGGGACACTGTTCCGGGCAGGGCAGGGACGCTAGCTGGGCATAGAAGCTCTTCCCTGGCCCTAGGTCCTGACCGTGGCCATGAGCCTGTGGGAAAGCACCAGCCTGTGGAAACTTGTCACCCCAACTCCTCTCCCCTAAGCTGCCTGGAGGGCCAGGGCCCACTCAGCAAGCCCTGCCTGTCCCCCTCTGTGACAAACACAGGTGCCCAAACTGGACACCTCAAGCTGCTCCCAGTGCTCTGCCCCATTTTCCAGAACAGCAGAAATGGAGGCCAGCACTTCACAGCCTGTTAATCCCCTCCCCTGACTTCAGTGCAGTGAGGCGCCACTTGGGTCAACCTTTAAGCCAGAGTGTAGATTCTCGCTTTTAGAGGCACGTCCTGGTGCTGGGTGCCACACCCACAGGGGAGGAGAGACGGATTCCGTGTGGCTGCCGGGTGTGATCTCTCCACTGATTCTGGCAGCTGTTCACAGCGAATTTTAAAGGGCAGACTTTTTAAACAGAAGTTTATCTGCTGTATGGCCACTCTGAGCCAGTCCCTCCCCGCCTGGCTCGGGCACTCCCTGTGGCCTCAGGGAGCAATGCCTAACACTGTGTCCCCTGCAGGAGAGCCTGCGGCATTATGTGGACCGAGTCTTCACTGTCATCACCAAGTCAGGGGTGAGCTGCCCCACCGTCATGTGTGACATCTTCTTCTCCCTGAGAGAGGCTGCCGCCAAGCGCTTCCAAGGTGAGCCCTGTAGGCCCCTCCAGCTGCCAGTGTCCCCAGTGGGCGTGAGGGGCCTCCATCCCCTGGCTGACCTGCCTTCCCACGGGGCTGCCTTTTAACACATGCCCCTGGTGGCCCTTTCCCTCACCAAGCACCTGCAGCACTTTGGGGACTAGACAAGGAGGTTTGCTGGTGATCTCGGCACCTTTCAAAACCACTTCCTCACCAGGCCTGCTGGCACCTACCTGTAATCCCAGTGGCTTCGGCTAAGGTGGGAGAATGACAGGGTCAGAACCTCAGCACCTGAGGGAGGACCTAAGCAACTTAGTAGGACCCTCTCTCAAAATAGAACCTAAAAAGTTCTGGGGACTTGACTCAGAGGTGAGGTTCACCTGGGACCAATCCAGGATCAGAAAACAATCATCAGATAAAACACGTCTTCGTCACGCTGGCTCCTGGGGAATGAGGAGCATTCCCTCCTACACCCGAGGCCCCACAAGCCCTCACTACGACCTGCACACGCCTCTGCACCCCTGGTCCCCTGCTGCACGGACCCCTCAAGTCCCCACCTCCCTACCCTGCACACACCTCCACGCACCATTGGTCCCTCCTGCATGGACTTCTCACGTCCCCACCTCCCGGCCCTCCTCACAGCTCCCTGCACCCTTGTCCCCTCCTGCACGGTCTCTTCAAGCCCACCACTTCCGCCCTGTACACACCTCCCTGTACCCCTTGTCCCCTCCTGCACAGACCCCTCAATCCCCCACCTCCCGCCCTGCACACACCTTCCTGTACCCCTTGTCCCCTCCTGCACGGACCCCTCAATCCCCCACCTCCCTCCCTGCACACACCTTCCTGTACCCCTTGTCCCCTCCTGCACAGACCCCTCAATCCCCCACCTCCCGCCCTGCACACACCTTCCTGTACCCCTTGTCCCCTCCTGCACGGACCCCTCAATCCCCCACCTCCCTCCCTGCACACACCTTCCTGTACCCCTTGTCCCCTCCTGCACGGACCCCTCAATCCCCCACCTCCCTCCCTGCACAATCTCCCTGTACCCCTTGTCCCCTCCTGCACGGACCCCTCAATCCCCCACCTCCCTCCCTGCACACACCTTCCTGTACCCCTTGTCCCCTCCTGCACGGACCCCTCAATCCCCCACCACTCCCGCCCTGCACAATCTCCCTGCACCGCCATGTTACCACTCTTCCCAGACCTCCCATGAGCATGGCAGGATAGGAGGTTCCACTGAGGTCACAGCTCATATCTGAGCCGCTTCCAGGTCTCACTTTCTGAGGATTCTGATCCTGGTGAGTGTGTCCTCCCAGCCCCAGAGGACACCATCCCCACTCTCGGAGGGTCAAGGAAGCATTCCCCAAGAACAAATGGGAAGTGAGAATACTGAACAGGACTGTCCTCCCACCCCAGCTGAGAGCCAACCACCAGTGAGACCCCGAGGCTGGTGGGTCAGGGTTATGACTCCAGATGGTGCCGTGGTGACCGTAAGACAGACAAGACTGGGGCCAGGCACGAGGCCCTAGGAGGGGCGGGATGATAGGAATCTTTGGGTGGCTGTGTTGTGGCACCCCACTGAAGTGGCGTCCTCTGTCCCCAGATGACCTGGACGTGCGGTACACAGCCGTGAGCAGCTTCATTTTCCTGAGGTTCTTTGCTCCTGCCATCCTCTCCCCCAACCTCTTCCAGCTGACACCTCATCACACGGTAAGAGGTCAGCCCGTGAGCTAACCTGTCCTCCCCTAGTCTGGCCAGTCCCCTGAGCCTGCCCACACGTCAGCAGGGGAGAAGGTGTGAAAGTGGGAGGGCTGTCTCTTCTCTGTCCACAGAGACATTCAGCAAACTTTCTGCCCCAACTTCTCTGTGTTGCTGGAGGGATCAACAGTTGGGTGTTGTGACGGGGGCCTTGGCTGTCACCACATGCCCTGTGAATACCTTGGTGTGCTTCCAATTCTGTGCACATTCATGCATCTCTTTGTGTCAAACATTGTGGATTGTGCCATGTGGCAGGCCCTCTCTGGTGCTGAGGTGACAGTTGAGGGTGCCCGGGGGAGAGGCTGGAGAGACTTTGCGTGGTGGCCCTTTCTGCTTCCCTTTGATTGAAGCCAGCATCCCTCTGCCTGTGCAGAGTGGCCCTGGCGCCTCTGCTTACCAGGTGGGAGGGCTGGAGGAGGGAGCCCTTCTCTGTTCACGGTGCCAGGGTCCAGCACCCAGCTGAAATGCAGGCCATCTGGGGTGAGACAGCATCCCAGGTGACTGGGACCTTCTGGAGCCCGAGACCAGGAATTATCCAGGTCACCCCAGTGCCTGCTTAGGCCATGGCAGCTTTTGGACAATGCCACCCATTTTGTCCTCTGTGTAACTCTGGGATCGATCACAGCGTGTCCTAAAACTGGAACAAGGCCAGGTTTCTCTTCTCTGCCTCCGACAGGACCCACAGACGTCAAGAACCCTGACACTTATCTCAAAGACCATCCAGACTCTCGGCAGCTTGTCCAAGTCCAAGTCTGTGAGTCTCTTTCCACCCGTCCAGGAGCTCTGCTTTGTTTCTCTCTTTAGAAAGTGTAGATGAAGCGGTCCACACTCAGGAGCGAACCCCAGGGACACGGAGTGGGAAACACCCCAGCCTTCCAGTGCCTCCCGTGTCTCTGCCCTCGGGGGAGGCCCGCAGTGCCGGGGGCCTAGTTCCTCTGACTTCTCTCAGTCTCCTGGGAAGGTAGCCAGGCCTCCTAACTGATTGTCCCACCTCAACTTTGCTCCTGGTCCCCTAGTGGCAGAGCTGGGAAGGTCACCTCAACCGTGAGCCCCCGGGATGCTACGTGGGTGCACCTGTGGGTGGGGGCGTCCTTGGCAGGAGGAGCAGAGCCCAGCCACAGTCCTGGTGACAGCCTGCACTTTCTGTCATCATCACTCCCTCAGGCAGGTGCTGTGCTAGAGGGTCCCTGTCCCTCAGGGTCTTCTACCCCTGGACTGCCATCCTAATTCCATGCAAGCAGGCCTCTTGACTCACAGCTTGAAAAGCAGGCTCTAGGGCCAGAGCTGGATGCCAAGTCCTGACTGGGTATATGAACTGTCCATGGCCAGGTGAATGGGGGTCTGTAGGAGCTCCCTCCCTGACCTCCAGGGCCTCAGGTGGGATCCCTGAAGACGAGGAAGCTTCTGTGGAGGCCCAGAGGCAGTGGCTCTTCCCTCCACACCCAGGTGGTGGGAACTCCAAGGTCTTCACACCTCCTGTGTACATCCCTACCCCAGGGGACCCCACAGGAAGTGCACTGATCTGCACCAAACCCCGAGTGGTGGCCAGAGAGGTCTCCCTGGGTCCCCAGGCTGTGACTCGGCCCCTGGGCTGGGCAGCCCGAGACAGCAGGGGCCTGCTCCCTGAGGCACTGGAGCACCTGGGGGCCGTTCACAGCTCCAGGAGCCTGATCCAGGACTTCAGCCAGAGCAGACACTGGTCCTCTCGAGCACCACCTGGGCTGGCCACAGGCACCTGAGTCAGATCTGGGCCACCCACCAAGACCCCGGCATCACCTGGCGCCCGGCTTCATTTCAGGGCAGTTTCAAGGAGGCTTACATGGCGACCTTCTACGAGCTCTTCAACGAGCAGAAGTACGCAGATGCGGTGAAGAACGTAGGTACACATGTGTGCAGGGAGCCCGCACTCGGGGACTTCACACGTGGTGGCCTGCAGGCCTGCAGGCGGATCATGCCCTGCCGGCTGTCCACTGTGGGGCAGGTCCAGGGCCACCTGGGTCCCCTGCAGCCACCCTTGAGCCGATTGTTGGCCGACGTCCATACCTGCAGCACAGTCCTGTGCCATCATGGCCACAGTCCCTGGTGCCTCTGTCCCAGCTATGTCGAGGACACTGTGGAGAGTGCCCTGCACCCTGTAGCTTGGCCATCCCCACCCTCGCAAATCAGAGGGCAGAAGGGGTTGGAGCTCAGAGCAGCCTGTTGCTGGGAGGGAGCTGAGAGGCCCTCGGATGGGGCGGGAGTCAGTGCCAAACCCGGTCCCCAGGTGGGACCACTCGTGGCCAGGAAGAAGGGCGGGGCCAGGCCGGCTGCCTCTGCCGTGTGTCTTGGGCGCCTGGAGGGTGCAGAGCTTTCCAGTGCCTGGCTCCCCGTGGACAGGCCTGGCAGGGTCGGGGCAGGGCTGCTGCCTGGGGACTCCCACAGGCCTCGGGACCCTCCTGCTCTCTTCCGCAGCCTTGACAGGGAGTGAGGGAGGAGCGGCATCTTGCCGCCGTCGCTGTCGGGGAGTCGGATTCGACGGGCTGCCCTTCTCATGGCCTGGTTTCCTCCCCTGCTTTAGTTCTTGGATTTGATTTCATCCTCTGGGAGAAGGGACCCCAAGAGTGTCGAGCAGCCCATCCTGCTCAGGGAAGGGTAAGGCCTCCGTCGCACCTGGGAGGAAGGTGGGGGGGCTGCACAGCTGCCTGTCCTTGACTTGAGGCCCCAGAGCTCGGGTCTGGCCCATGTGGACAATGGCTTGCAAGTTAGGCTCAACCTGGACCTTTCCTAGCCACTGGCCTGGGGCGGGGTGGGGTCCCGCCTCCTCATCCTTTCCCTACCAGGCTCCTCTGGGGAGGCGCAGCCCACTGTGGTTGCTCAGGGCCTCTTCTCTGTGGGCTTCGCAGAGTGTCCACTCTTGCTTCTGAGGGGTCTTCTGTCAGGAAACCAGGGTCACAGGAAATGAGATGGGCACTCGGTCCCAAGGGCCTCAGCCAGGATTCCCTGCGGTATCTTGGGGGTCCTGGAGGTGGAAGTGCTGTGACCCCTCGAGGTTCTACCTCAGCATGGGCCTTTCCTACCTTGGCCTCACCCGGGGGTCTGGGGCTCCAGGGGCGGCACAACACCTCTGCCCCTCATTGGCACGAACTTGGGCAGATGCACCCAGTTCCTGCAAAGCCTGCTGGGCTGGCCCCCGTTTCAGCTGCAACTCTGAGGCTCTCAGCTTCACCGTGCCCCCAGGCCCAGGAGCTGGCCCGGACCATGGCCCTGTCGCTGTTTCTCTTTTAAAGCAGCCACGTGTCCATGGTAGCACAGGTGGCTTCACACAGTGCACACTGAGCAAGCCTGCAGCCCAAGGCAGCACAGCCTTCTGTGATCCTTCCTGGCTGGCACACTGTATGTGGAGTGTGGCGATTCTAGAGTGACCTCCTGGTGCAGGGGTTGTGACCCTTCCCTGGGCCTCTGCAGCACAGCCAAGTTCCTCCAGCTCTTCAGTGGCTGCAGCACACAACTCACTGAGGTTTCGGTCCACTAAGACCCTTAGGCTTCTACCCCCAATTAAGCTGCCACCTTCTGCTCCCCAACTGATTGTCACCTGCAGTGTCATCTTGGGGGTGGGTGTCTGTCATCTTGCTCTGGGTGGGCATTTTGTCCTGTGCTTGTGCACACTGTAGACTCAGGGTGATAACCCTGCTCACTGAGGTTCACTCCATGCCGAGGTATGCCTGTACTCCTGCTCTTCGTGACCCTCCTCGTGTTGTCACCTGCCGAGATGCAGAGCCATGAGCCAGCTCCAGGGGCTTAGTGTTGAACCAACTGTGCTCACGTGGGGTGGCACACCCTGTTTGCAGTTGGCTCCCACCTCCCCTGTTCCACGGGTGCATGGTTGTGGTTAGAAATGGTCACTCGTGAATGAGGTATCTGGACCAAAGCTTGAGTGAGTGACCCTCACAGACCCTTTCTCCAGAGAACTGCCAACACCCTCCGGCTGCATGCACCTGCTCCTCTGTGCCCAATCAGCTAGAGGTTTCTAGGAATGTATGTGCACAGAATTTGCATAAACCCCATGTATGCATGGCCCTCAGAAAATAGTGTTCCCACAAAATCCTGTAGCAGCATGTTTGTAAGACCTTCTACCCACGGCTCATCTGTCCCGTGACTGAGGATCTCTTAGAAGCATTTTCTGACCTTTAAGGACAGTGGTGCCCAGCTGATCAGTGTGTGTGGAGGCTGCATGGGGCCCCTTGGGGTCTCAGCTGCCCTCCTGGCTTCCCCAGTCGTGGGAGGACAGCAGCATGCTGTGTTGCTGGCTGTGGACCCAGTTGGCCTCAGTTTCTGCCCAGATCATGGCAGAAGGTCCTGCCCTTAGCTCCCTCCAGACTGTTGCCAGGAGCGCCCTGGCTCCCACAAGTGCACCTGTGCCCAGGTCTCTGGCCCACACTGTGAGGCCTTGCTGGCGCCCAGCATCCCCAGCTCCGCTCCTCAGGGTAGTCACAGCTCCACATTCCTCCAACAGAACACATATCTCCTGGTCCAGGGGCCTGGCCATCTGCAGCTCTGCTCTTTTCTGCCTCTGCCCTCCATCCACCGATGGGTATTTCCTTCTCTTCCTGTTGGCTGCTGGCTGTGGTCAGGAATCCCTCACTCCCATGAGGCTCCAGGGGCCGCCAAGAGTGGTGTTGGGTGGGGGAGGCCGAGGTCCGACAGAAGCAGCCCGAACGAGGTTGCCTGGACACAGGAAGGCCATGGGCTTCCCCACACAGCAGGCACCACAGCAAGTAGTGTGCTCCCCACCACCCCCAGGCTGGTCGTGCCCCCCTCCCCCAGATCTGGCTCCAGAGCATGCCTGTGTGGCCCTGTGACCCCTGCTGCACTTCCTGCAGAAGGCCAGGCTATAGGAAGCCGGTCAGTGAGTGCTGGATGGGTGGGGGCTGGTGCTGGGGTCTGAGGAAGCCCTGTGTGGCCTTGCAGGTTGGGGTGCTCAAGGCAGAGGCACGTACCCCCCCTTCTAACCTGTTGACGGAAGTAGAGGAGAGCAGCACTGTGCACCGGTCTGCCTGCGCACTGTGGCATGACAAGGGGGCCTGACACTCAGTGACCACTAAGTGCCTTTGTGACAGGTTCATGATCAAGAGGGCGCAGGGGAGAAAACGCTTTGGAATGAAGAACTTCAAGAAGAGGTGGTTTCGCCTAACCAACCACGAGTTCACCTACCAGAAGAGCAAAGGTAACAAGAGTGGCCCCCCCTATGGGTTTCCCACTCTGCTCGGAGGGCTCCGAGCCTTCTCCAGGTCCTGCTGGGCGAGGACTACTCTGTGGGGAAGCCTGGCAGACAGCTTTGTCCCCAAGCACATGTCCTTGTCCTGTAGCCCCTGGCAAAGGTGGGGAAGACTCCTCTGCAGGAATTCCACTCCCACCCACCAGAGCGCAGGGTCCACCTGTGGGGGAGGCCTCCTGGCTGTACTTGATGTCCCTCTCCGCATCCCCCCCCAGGCCGTGGGGCTGGTTTCTCCTGGGTCTGAGCAGCTCACCTTAGGAAGTTCTAGCAAATGACTTCCTCTCCTAAAGATGTGGCCCTGGGCTGGAGGCATGCCTGAGAGCTTATCAAGGTCCTGAGAAGCACCTGGCTCCTCCCTGCATGCCTGTGGCCTCTGGGGTCCTCAACTATCTGGCTAGCGAGGAGGGCACCACCACTTCAAGGCCAGGCACAGCACTCATGCCCTCTCTGCCACAGGAGACCAGCCCCTCTGCAGCATCCCTATCGAGAACATCCTGGCCGTGGAGAGGCTGGAGGAAGAGTCCTTCCGGATGAAAAACGTGAGTGCAGCCCTCTCCCCCAGGTGCGTCCCACGACCTGGCTCCAGGCCTGGATCTCCCTTCTCCTGTGCTCACCAGGCCCAGGGAAGAACCTGAGGGGAGCCGGGGGCTGAGCTTGGCCAGGTGCTTCTCGGGCCAGTTCCAGAGGCCAAGGGGCCTTGCCTGTGTTAGTCAGCTTTCCATAACTGTGACAGACACCTGAGATGATCAACCTAGAGGCAGGAAAGCCCTATTTAGCCTCACAGTTTCTATGTCACCTGGCCTTGTGGCTTTGGCCCTGTGGTGAAGCAGAGTGACACAGCAGGGCGTCTGTGGTGGAGCAGGCAGCTGCCTCGTGGCAGCTGGAGGCAGCGCCGACCAGGAAGGGGTCAGATCCCAACAGCCTCCTCGAGGGCGTGTCCCCAGTGACCTCACTTCCCTCCCTGAGGCTCCACCGTCAGCTAGAGTCTGAGCCTTCTGCACCTGGACTTGGGGAGCACTTAAGATCCAAACCACGACATTCCACCCCTGGTCCCCACAGGCCACGTCCATTTCCAAGGGTCCACATAGTCTCACCAGTTCCATCATTGCTCAAAAGCCCAAGTCCAAAGTCTTCTCTTAGACACAAGGCAAACAGCTCTGAGCCCTGAAAAATTTTTAAAAACCAAAAACTTACATAATGGTGCAGGGCAATCATTCCCATTCCAAAAGAGAAATCAGGGACACAGAAAGGAAGGCTCAGGCTGAAGCAAGACCGACACCCAGCAGGGCACAGATTCAATGCTGAGGACTTGGCTGGGGCAGCCCTGCCTGGTGGCCTTGCTAGCTGTGGTCCCCGTGGCCACTCCTGGCTGGCTCTGCTCCGTGTCTGAGCTTTCCACGGCGATGTTCCATGCTCCTGGAATCTCTTCATCCCAGGTCTCAGCTGAAGCTGCAGGTTTACTCCCGTGGTGCCACACATGGCCCTCCAGGGCTGCCTGCAGGGACTCCAGGCCTGCCGCCTGCCGCCTCCCAGACCTGCCTTTGGAATCTGAGGGAAGCCTCTGTTGCTCCAGGACTCTTGCATTCTGTGTGCCTGCAGAACCAGACCCCTCGGCGATGCCAAGGCCTCCCGGGGCTTGAGCAGGGGCAGAGACCCTTAGACCCTGGCTGCAGTGGCTTCTGAGTACCTGGGCAGCTGAACTCGGAGGCAATGTCCTGGGGAGACAGCTCCCAGGCAGACCTATATGAGCTGGTACTGAGGCACCATCTCAGATGAAAGTCTGAGCCTGTGAGGGGTGGGGTCTTGCTGAGATGCCCTCAAATCATCTCTCTCTTATCATCCACGTGCCAGGTTACAACACCTTTTAGTGTCACTGATTTCTTAAGTAATCACTCCTTCCTTGGCCCCAGTTGTGCACATATTTTTCTGCCCAAATTTCAAGCTTTTCAGATCTTTCGGTTCTGCTCTTTCTTTCTATTTCTCACTGTGAATCTGGTTAAAAGCAGCCAGCAATGCCCATGCCATAGCCTGAATGCTCTGCTGCCTTGAAATTTCCATTGCCAGATTAATTAGTTCCCCACCTCTTGTACTCGGCCTTGCAGAAAGCCTCAGGACTTGAGCAAAATGTAGGCTATTCTTTGTCAGAATACAAATTGAAGGGCTCAGCCCTCATTCCCCCTCGAAACCTCAGGAGCAGTCTTTGCTGTCCACATTCCTATTGGCATCCTGGTCTTCTAAACTCCACCAGAATCTCCCATTAAACAAACTCTACTTCTCCAGCCTACATCTCCAAACTTTCCAAACTCCTCCTGCAAATCAGTTCCAAGGCTCCTGAACCACGTGGTGAGGTGCCATCACACTTCACCTCTCAGTGCCAACTTCAGTGCTACTAACCTTTTCATTGTTGTGACCAAAATACCACGACAACAACTTGGAGGAGGAAAGTTGATTTTACTTGGAAGAAAGACCCCTTAAAGGATGCCAGGAATAGGTCCTGAGCCTCTTGGGATTTCCTCTCAAACCTTCTTTGGCTCTGGTGTAATTTTGAACTTAGAGAAGGGTGCACAAGGACAGAACGAGGGGTCCCAGGCACCCTTGATCTGGCTTCACTTTACCCTGTGTGCTTGGTCATCCTTGGTGTCCTCGCTCCTCTCTGTGTGATGGCTGCATCTTTCCTGAACTGCACGAGTACTTCAGTGTATGCTTCCTAAAAACAATTCTCTTCAGAACCACATGGCAGTTGCCCACACCAGAAATCTCACTCTGGCCAGGCCAGCACATCCCCATCGTATTCACAGTGGCCACCCTGCTCCTTCCCCGCTGTCGCCTGCTCTCAGACCTTCCCTGCCCTGCTCGGTGACTCGGGCCTGATGTTTTACATGCCTAGAGGCAGCTTGTTTTCTAGTGGTCCATCAGCTTGGCTTTCTGGCCCCTGTGAGTGCCCAGCCCAAAATGATGGTCAGGTTGCTGTCCATGGGGATCAGAGCCATGAGCACACTCAGGCAGAGGTGGGGTTTACACACACGGGGGCGGGGGCACAGGGGTGTTCCCATCTCCTAGTGAGGCCCCAGCTATTCACCCAGGAATATGGAGCCAGAACTCCCTAAGCCCAGAGGGGCTATCACCTTGGATAGCCACCTGAGTCCTGCCAAGCTCTGGTCTGCCCACCTCTCCAGGCACCATCTGGGTGCAGCTTGGCCTGTGCTTCTGGGGTCACCTGACCCCTCTGGCTCCAGGACCTCTGTTCCCACTGTCTTCTGCCTGGGAAGCCATCTGTCCCCCCGCCTTCTGCGCTCCACCTCATTGACCCTTTCCCTGCTCTGCCGTTAACTTGGCCTGCTCCAGAGCTCAGCCAGAGGACTGCTCAGTCTCTCCTGACCTGTTAGGCCCTGGCCCTGACTTGCTGTTTGCTTTCATCCTTCCCCCTGGCTGCAAGTAGCATGTCCCTGGGACCCAGGACAGTTGCTGGCACTTAGTAATGTTGGTGGAGAGAGAGGCAAAGGCGGTGGCCCTGAGAAGCCTCATGAGGAAGAAGCCCCTGAGTGGAGCAGTCCCCTGTGGTCAGGTGGGCACCAGGGTACCAGAGGGCGAGAACAGCTTGCCAGGCCCCGAGGCAGGGCTTCATGTGCCAGCAAGGTGGACAGGAAGGGCTTCGTGACACGGGTGGCCAGCCCTGCAGTCCCAGGAGAGAAAGCAGGTGGGTGGGGGATTCCAGCTGAGGCTTCTGAGGCTGCAGGCAGAGTGTGCCTGGCGAGGCTCACCCTGGTGGCCAAGTTGCAGTGGCCTCCCCAGCTCTGCCTCTTCTGTCCCCACAGCCCCATCCTGTGGCAGAGCTGCAGGCAGGCCCTGGGCCCACCCAGGTTTGCATCAGCCCTGGCCCCTGGGGGCCCATCCAGCCAAGTGTCCCATTTCAAGCCATTGATGGTGTCTGAATGCCTGTGGCTCTCGTAGTAGCCCTCCTGAGCCCACACTGTGTCCTCAGATGTTCCAGGTCATCCAGCCGGAGCGTGCGCTGTACATCCAGGCCAGCAACTGCGTGGAGGCCAAGGACTGGATCGACATCCTCACCAAGGTCAGCCAGTGCAACCAGGCTCGCCTCACCGTCTTCCACCCGTCTGCCTACCTGAACGGCCACTGGCTGTGCTGCAGGGCCTCCTCCGACACTGCTGCCGGCTGCACCCCCTGCACTGGGTAGGTCTGGGCCCCCGCAGCACCCGGCACCCACCACCCCCACTCAGCCAAGCACAGTCGCCTGGCTGGTGTGCTGTCCAGGGGGCCAGTTCAGCCAGGGGGCCCAGCCAGGCAGACCTCAGTCCCCACTGATGGAGCACCTGGGCATGGGCCTCTGGGAGGCTGTGTACCTGCAGGGAGCTCCAGGCCAGGGAGGTTCCTCCCAAGCCCCTGCTGGGGCAGAGCTGACCTTGGGGAAGTGGTAGGCAGGGAAAGGAGGGCTTGAAGCCGAGGCGTCCCATTTCTCCCGAGGGCCTGGAAGTGCTCCATCTCCTGCTCAGAGCCCCACCCAGACTCTCCACCAGCACCTCTGCGTGGAAACTGAGGCCAGTCATGGCAGCTGAGCCTCCTGTGGCTATCAGAGAAGGGAAGGTGGCCAGGGTGCCCAGCCTCCCTCGGCAGTGCCCCTGATTAGCTCTCTGTGCCTTGTCATAGGGGGAGTATGACAGCCTCATGTGACAAGCCCCCAAAGTGTGCTTGTCACACAACCTTCACGTCTGGCCATTTGCTCCCCCAAGCCTTGGAGGGTGATAGATACAGAACCCAGGGCCACACCTGTCAGTCCCCAAGACCTCTCTCCTGTCCTCACCCAGGACAGGACAGGAACCCAATGCCTCCCGGGAGGAAAGGAAAGCTGACCTGTCCTCTGGGCAGGTGAACCTCTGGGGAGGCAGCCCAAGCCTTACACGAGGTCATTTCTGCCCTGTCCATGGTCAGTCTGGATCCATGGGTCCCAAGAGGCCCCAGCTGTGGAGGCTGGACTGTTCTCTCTCACATTCTATACATGTCCTAAGCCAGCCGGGGGCCACCCTGTCACCAAGGTCAGGATAAGGTTTTAAATATGTTCTCTCCAATTTCTTTCTTACTTGATTTTCTTAAAAGTAATATGAGTAAAAGCATTGTCTAAGTCATGTTTTTTTCTTTTTATTCTTTCCCTATCTGGGCAGTGGCCTCCCAGCAAACATCCAGCTGGACATTGACGGGGACCGCGAGACGGAGCGCATCTACTCCTTGTTCAACCTGTACATGGCCAAGCTGGAGAAGATGCAAGGTGACCACAGCCCCTGCCCGTGTCGGGCCAGGGAGCTGTCCCAGGCACAGGGCCATCTGCAGGGCAGCCTGGTAGAGCTCTGGTGTCCGTGGGGCGTCCGTGGGCAGGCTACAGCCCTGGTGATGGGAAGCTGTTTGCTGGCTAGCCAGCACTCTAGAGAGAGATGTGTTTGTGACATTCAATAGCTTAACAGAACTAGAAGCTCAACAGTCTGGGCAGGACAGATTAGGTGGCGTGGGACCTGGTCTGTTCCTCAGTGGCAGGCAGATCCAAGGAGGGAGGCAGGGGTATCTTCTCCATGAGGGGTCTGGGAGAACTCAGATACGCTCATGTAGATCACAAAACAGCTCTCAGCCCACAGAACAAAGCATAGGAGAAAGTCTGGAATCCAGCCCGTTAGTCTTGCTTCCTCCCTGCTTTCCTGACCCAGCCCAGAAGGCCAACTGCACCTTGGCTGGCCATGCACGGGGTCCTGGGCATCATGTCCCGCCCGCGTGTGAGAACAGGCTCCAGGCTCACACTGGCTCACATGCCTGTGCACACCCAGACGGCAGCATGGTGCCCAGCAAGCACGGCATGCGCAGGGCCTGGCCCTGCCTGCACCACAGTGCTGCACACTGTGCATGGCCTCTACCCCTCTACCTGGAGTGCCCTCCTACTTCAGTCCAGCCAGTGCCTGCCCTTCCTGTGAGTCTGTTCCTCCTGGGAGCTTTCTCCAGCCCCCGGCCCCATAGCCTGGTTCACCCCATCACTCAACTGCAGCCCTCTCTGGTCTGTTCACTTTTAGTTGTTATCTGGGGCCTTTTGAGAGCAAAGGAAACATCCTTTTTACCCCAGGACTTGGCACAAAGGGGGTACTTGTCCTGTTGGATGGATGGATGGATGGAAGGATGGAAGGATGGAAGGAAGGATGACTAGATGGGAGGGAGGGAGAGAGGAAGGAAGGAAGGAAGGAAGGAACAAGTGTATAGATAGACGGATGGATGGATGGATGGATGGATGGATGGCCAGACAGGAGGAAGGGAGGAAGGGATGGAGGGAGGGAGGAAGGGATGGAGGGAGGGAGGAAGGGATGGAGGGAGGAAGGAAGGGAGGAAAGAAGGAAAGGTGTATGGATGGATGGATGGATGGATGGCCAGACAGGAGGGAGGGAGGGAGGAAGGAGGAAGGAGGGAGGAACAGACAGGTATATAGATGGATGGACGGATGGATAGGTGGGTGGATGAATGCATGATGCATGGATAGATAGGTGAGTGGATGGATGAATAAAAAATGGACAGATAGACAAATGGAAACAATTATGCTCTCGTCCTTCCTCCCAGTAACCAACAAACCGCCTTGATAGCAAGGGCTCATTGCTGTCAACGCAGCTAGACTCTCAGCTCACTCTGCCCACATGCACCTTACAGGGCGTGGAGTCCCTGCATCCTCCAAGCCTCTGCCCGAGAACGTGGTGCTTCTTGACAGCCTTCTAGATGGGCAGCTCCGATGGCTGTGAGACACTGTCTCCCCAGACACATGACCATGGGGCCTGTGCCCGTTGGTGTAACAAGTCCCTTTCTGCCCAAGTCCTAGCCTTTGGTGCTGGAGGGCTGTGTTGCCATGGCCTTGGCCACAGGCCATGGTCAGACCCTGGCCCCTCCTGGACGCTCCTGTGGCTAGGTCTCTGTGGCCCCACATCTGCAGACTCAGTGCAGGGTCATGGCATTCTGTCCTGAGGGCTAGTGCTGGGCTGGGAATGTTGGCCAGTGCAGAATGGCTTGTCATGATGGTGGCGAGAGTAGAAACATCTCTGTGGGGGATGGCAGGCTTGCCGGGTATGCTGGGGGCAGGCCATCTGTCCATCTGTGCAGTGACACAGGTACCTGCTTGTTAGGGTTTTGGGGAGGCTGCTCATGTGAAACGGAACCAGTGTCTCCTGCACGGCCTGGTCACCAGGTCTCCATTTCACCTTGATCAGTTCAAGGACACTGTTCACAGGGCACCAGGTCCAGGGTCCAGGCAGAAGGTGGTTTTAGTTGTTATTTTGTGTCCTAGTGAGACAGATTGGGCTCAGGGACGCTGCCATCTCTGCATCCTGCTCGGTCCTCCCGCCTAGTCAGGCCTTGCGGAACAGCCTTGGCTGCTGCATCCTCACCAGCACCTCCCAGGAGGGCAGGGATATCCTCTAGCGCCCGCCACCTTCCTCCACAGCCGTCCTGTCACTCGACTGTGCAGTTAGCAAGCTGGACCTGTGAGGAGAGGGTGGCTGGGCCGAGACATGCTGGGCCCAGGGGCCTGCAGGATGGACACTCAGGCTGCTCCCTCACTCACGTGCCAATAGCCAGCCTTTCCTGGAGGGGACTGCCGTGGGAAGTGCATGCCCCGAGCAGACACCCAACAAAGGGGTGGTTGCCACAGGGACACCGCAGTGACATCCCTGCCCCCACAGAGGCCTGTGGGAGCAAGTCTGTGTACGACGGCCCCGAGCAGGAGGAGTACTCCACGTTCCTCATCGACGACCCCCAGGAGACCTACAAGACACTGAAGCAGGTCATCGCAGGGGTGGGGGCCCTGGAACAGGAGCACGCGCAGTACAGGAGGGACAAGTTCAAGAAGACAAGATACGGGAGTCAGTGAGTGCCTCGGGGATGAGGCTGTGGGCAGGGTGTGGCCAGGTCCACCCCAGACCTCTGATGGTGCCCACCTGGGGAGGAGGCTGGGTCTCCCAGCCTGTCTCAGCCAGTGTCTGGCCCCATCTGCCTCTGCCTCACACGCCCTCTGCCATCTCCCAGGTCACTGGCACAGGCTGGCTCTGGAGTGGCCACATTCTTGTCCCAGGAGGGAGGGGGTAGGGCATGCGGATGCTCAGGACTGAGTCAGGTGGACCACACTCGACCCATCACCAGCTAAGGCTGGCAGGTAGCATGGCTTCCACCCCCACTTCTGCACAAGAGCAGAGGTCATGGGAGATTGAGTTCAATGAGGCGAGGGCTAGAAGAGCCCATGGCCAGGGGTGAGTGGGCGTCTTGACTGTGCCCATCCAGCAGGTGCCAAGGGACTGCATGACAGAGCCACCACACAGCCTAGAATGGGTGGGTGAGCCTGCAGGGAACACCGACCATGCAGGGAAGAGGCCGGGGTTCTGGGAAAGATCAAGTGAGGCTCAGGGAGAGTGACCACTCCCCACGTCCTGCTGGATAGAGCCCGAGCACCTCTAGGGCCTCTAGCATTGAGGCAGGTCTTGGACACACCTGGCAGGGAGCCCACACCCCCTTCTGAAGGCCTCCCTCCTAACGTCAGAAGCCAGCAGCCTTGCAGTCCAAAGCCAGGGGGCTGACCGCAGCCCAGGAAGCAGAAGCCTGTTCTAGGGGAGGTGTTGCACCCAGAGCAGGCAGCGACCCACCCCAGACACCCACTACCCAGCACCGGGCATCCTTCAGCCACAGGTGGACAGAGCCCGCCTTCCCCACGCTCACAACGCACACTCCATAGTGTACCACACACCGTGTGCACACAGGTCCAGCCTACACACGTGAACCTCATGCATTACAACATGTGATCTGCAGCCGGGGTACACTGCACGCCAACATGTGTGCGTGCTGCATGTACCACCTTGCGTGTGGATTCTGCGCACGTGTGTGCACACTGCATATCGCAGACACACAGCACCTCTCTCCTTCAGGGAGCACCCAGGGGGAGAAGCCTCCTCCTCCCCTTCCAGGGAGCACTCAGAAGTGGGCAATGGAGCTTGCTCTCCCCCTCCTCTTCCAGGGAGCACCCAGAGTGGGGACCTCCTGTTCATGAAGCATCCTATCCCCACTTCTTCCAGGGACACACAGAGTACAGAGCCTCTTCACCCTCATCTTCCGGGGAGCACCCAGAGGAGGGAGGGAGCCTCTTCTCTGCCTCTCTTCCAGGGAGCGCCTGGGGTGGGAGCCTCTTCTGCCTCGCCGGTTCCTGGAAGCAGCTGGGGTGTAACTTTATCCTCTCCCCGTCTTCCAGGGAGCACCCCATTGGAGACAAGAGTTTCCAGAACTACATCCGACAACAGTCCGAGATCTCCACCCATTCCATTTGAAGTGTGTGCAGTGTTCTAGGGTGGCACCAACCTGCTGCACAAGGCCACCCACCCCCGAGCAGCAGAGGGAAGCAGAACCGATGGAGCCTTCACAGCCCAGCAGCTCCCACAGGACCAGTCCTGGCTGCCAGGGCTCCACACGTCTCCACTCAGAACTCTTAACTCCTGCTTGCCTCACCTGCCAGTGCCGAGTGGTCTGACTGGCCTCTGGAGTGTGGGGTCATTGTCTTCTCATTCCCTTTGTCCTGTGGAGGTGCAGGGGTCAGATGAATGGTCAGGAAGCATGGACTGCCCAGTAGTCATCCAGGCCCTCCTCTGGCCTGGCCCTGGCTCTTCTGCTGCACCCCTCCAGACGTGAACAGTGTCACTCCATCCCTACAAGCCTACTGCCCCCCTGGCTGTGACAGGGGCCTCCCTGTCTGTTTGTGGCTGGAATCCCTGAGGGGCCTGGGCTTTGGGGGCCTGGGTCCCTTCTGCAGAGTCCAGGCAGGGAGAGGCAAGATTCAGTCTCCTCTGGCTGACTGGCCAGCCCCAGTCCCAGCACAGCTGTCCCACTGTGAGTCAGTGTCCAGTCCCAGCACAGCCGTCCTACTACGGGTTGGTGTTGGGAACCACAGTCCACTTGCCTGCCACCCCATGGGGAGGTTGGGGGGAGATTTTTGAAAAGTGCATTTTTCAAGCCGTCTTTCTTATTGTTTTTAAAGGAGTGTTTTTAATTAGCTCTTTGATGTAAGGTAACTCAGAACATTGAAACCTTTACCTGCTCAAGAGGGCTCTGAGAGGCAGATAGCCGGGAACTGTGTCTCCAGCTGCCAGAAGGTTCTCCCAGGGACTGCTGCGCCCCGTCTCAGGAGCCCAGGAGGAGAAGGGCATGGCCGTGGCCAGAGCTGCTGTCTTGTGACAGGAGGGTTGGGGCAGGAGGGCAGACCTCTTCAGCTTGATGGCACACTGGTGTTGCAGACCCTTGCTCTCCAGCACCCCTGGCCTGTGGCAGGGGGTCCTGGGGAAGCACTGAGGCACATGTGGACTTCCTTGTCCAGGCTTTTCATCTAGGGACAGGTAGTCACATCATTTCTTGTCACAGAAGTAGTGGAGGAAAGTGTAAAAAACCTCTGGACACATGCTCTCAGGCTGCGATTTTTAACAGGGATTTGTAACAATGTTTCTGTTTATAAAATACTAATAATTTGCAATGTATTTTACTGGCCGATTAAAACAGAGGTTTTATTCTTTCTGAGGACTGGCCTGTTTTCCACAGGAGCCCACTGGTCACTGCGCTCGTTGGGTAGGGGCACCATGTGGGGAGTGGCAGGTGACAAGAGAGGGTCTGATGACCAGTGGCATCCATCCGGCAGGCGACATTCAGGTGACATGTGGAGCTTTAGGTGGGAACTTGGCCCGCGGTGCCTTCAGGAGAGGTGTTGCCGGGCCTTTAGACAATCCCCAGGAGCGGGGAGGGCAGGCTGCACCAGGAGCTGTGCAGCCTGAAGGTGCCTGGAGCTGAGCCGTGGCCCTGGGGGTGGAGGGATGGCACCCCGGGACGGGGGAGCTGCTGTCTGCTGTCCTGCTGCCCCCCCTGAGGCCAGGAGAGGGTCAAAGGGCGGTATAGGCAAAGGCCCCGTGGCTGGGGCCAGGGATGGCTGAGGTGGTTTCTAATTTCTTTAATCTTTTCTCCATTTTGTTTTTCTTTACTTTTTTTTTCTTTTTGCTGGGGATTGAACTCAGGGACACTCCACCACTGAGCCACATCCCCAGCCCTGTTTTGTGTTTTATTTAGAGACAGAGTTTGCTGAGTTGCTTCTGATTTCTTTATTTCTTCCTTCTCTCCATTTGGTTTCCCTCTCTCTCTTTCTAATCCCCTCAGTTGGCTCCATCAGGAGGAAGGTCTTGGGTCTGCCTCTGGGGACTCAAGTCAGACATTTCTTGGGAGTCATCAAGTGGCTAAGGACTGTGCCCCAAAGGCGGAGGCTGGATTGTCCCTGGTTAGCCTCCTCCATCCACAGGAGGGCGGGGTTGGGCAGGGAAGGTGAGCATCCCGGGCTGAGCTCTGGGCAGCACCAGGACCTGAGGACCCAGTTCACACTGGGGTGTATGAAATCAGAGTCAGGATGAGAAGGAACACGGAGGTAGGAGGCTGGCCCTGGAGGAAGGAGATGGAAAGGCCAAAAGGCCAGAAGGCCACAAAGTGGGCCCTAACGGCCCCGTGTTCCCATGAGGGGTACAGAGGCTCCTTGGAGACCCGTCATTCTGCTCATCCTCTTGCTCACTAGCCTTGGGCCCGTGGCCTGTGCCCTCTGGGATGCAAGAGGCTCTAGGCTGCCCCAGGAGGACCCGTGTGTGGAGGCGCCCTTGCTCCCTCCAGGTGCCCATGAGCCTCATGCTGGGTAAGCTGGTGGTCAGGAGGCAGGTGCATCAGCGGGTCCCCTGAGGGTGCAGAGCAAGCCCCTCAAAGTAAGCTCCTTTGGTAGAAGAGTTATTTTGAGCCAAAGGCACTTTAAAAACCAGCAGTGCGAGGAAGGTCCTCTGACCTCCCTTTCTCCCGAGGGGACGATGAGGCCCCAGCCACAGTTTCTGGAGGACAGCAGCTCCCACACAGACCTGGTCCAGCTGACCCTGGCCTTCCCACGGCTCCCCCACTGTGCACCGTGACACCGAGCTCTCTGTTTCGCCCGGGGGAGCAGCCCCACCTCTGGGCCCCCGGTGTCAAGCAAGGCGTGCTGAATGCACACTCCTCCCCAGGACCTGCCTCAGTGGGGTCCACAGCCTCACCCCCCCAGCCCTCCAGGGGCAGGGCAGCTTTCCTCCCTATCCCTGCTCTGTGTGGCCAGCTGCAGCAGAGGAGCAGGGATCTCCTGTTGGGCTGCACTGGGCTGAACTGTGCCCCAAGTCACATGCTGAAGACCCCACACCCTGCACCTCAGAGTGAGGCTGTACGTGGAAACAGGCCTTTGCGGAGGTAAGAGGTAATATGAGGTGTTGCAATGAGCCTCACCCAGTCTGCTGGGTTCCCCTGAGAAGACCTCATCCCGTCTGCTGGGTTCCCCTGAGAAGACCTCACCCAGTCTGCTGGGTTCCCCTGAGAAGACCTCACCCAGTCTGCTGGGTTCCCCTGAGAAGAGCTCACCCAGTCTGCTGAGTTCCCCTGAGAAGACCTCATCCAGTCTGCTGGGTTCCCCTGAGAAGACCTCACCCAGTCTGCTGGGTTCCCCTAAGAAGACCTCATCCCGTCTGCTGGGTTCCCCTGAGAAGAGCTCACCCAGTCTGCTGAGTTCCCCTGAGAAGACCTCATCCCGTCTGCTGGGTTCCCCTGAGAAGACCTCACCCAGTCTGCTGGGTTCCCCTGAGAAGAGCTCACCCAGTCTGCTGGGTTCCCCTGAGAAGACCTCATCCAGTCTGCTGGGTTCCCTGAGAAGACCTCATCCAGTCTGCTGGGTTCCCCTGAGAAGAGCTCACCCAGTCGCCCAGAATGGTGGTGCTTGTCTGTGATCCCAGCGGCTCCAGAGGCTGAGGCAGGAGGATCACAAGTTCAAAAACAGCCCCAGCAACTTAGTGAGTCCCTAAGCAACTCAGCCAGACCCTATCTCTAAATAAAATATATTTTTTAAAAAAAGAGATGGGGGAGTGGCTCAGAGTTAAGTGCCCCTGGGCTCAATCCCCAGTACCAAAAAATAAATAAGTAAAACAAAATAATAAAAAAGACAGAGACGTACAGGGATGGCCACGTGCAGACACAGACGACAGCATCTGTGAGTTGACAGGAGCAGCCTCGGAGACGCTGACCGACCCCGACCCTGCCAGGGACGCAGTCTGCAGAGCTGAAGGTGTGCGATCCGGGTGGAGCCACCGGCTGTTGTCCTGTGCAGGCTGGTTTTCACATGAGCACAATTCCAGTCTGCCACAGAGAGGCTGTCCAAGCCCTCCTCTCAGCAGAGCACCTCCACGTCACTCTCCGGGCAGGAACCCTATGACCTTGCCCTGGGCGCTCCTTCATTTTCCTGAGTCTGACTCGGCCCCACGTTCCTGGTGGAAGGCTTGGCCCAGGCCACCGCCTACCCTCATCTGCAGGAGAAACCCAGGCAGCCTAGCCCTGCTCCAAGCCCCAGCTGGCGGGGAGGGCTGCTCTGGGCTGGGCCTGCTGACCCTTGACCCCTGACCTGCAGTGATGTCACAGCAGCTCCACGGCAACCCCCCCCCCCATTCTGGCTACTCCCTGGAGTAGGAGAGTAGGGAGAGGGGCAGCAATGGCCTCAGTGTGAGGCTGTGCAGGCCACGGGCAGAATGGAGAAGGATCCAGCCACACACAGGAGGCACCGGCCGGGCCCTGGGGCCCTGCCCTCAGGAGTGGCCCCTGGACATCTCAAGGCAGCCAGTGAGGGGGCCGAGCTCCAGAGGAGCCGGAGCATGGGTGGCTTGCACCAGAAGGGAGACCCCCCAAGCCGCATCAGGAAGCTGCGCAGGGAGCCGGGTAGGAGGGTAGGAGGGTCTCTGCTGGAGGGCCCAGGGCTGCCCGGGCCGGCAGCTCAGGAAGGGATGGATCCTGCGGACACCCACCTGGGGCGTCCCCAAGCACAGGGTGCTGTCCTGCCTGCGGCTGTGAGACCACCCCACTGACTCCTTGCCAGATGCTCCCGGGAACTTCGAAGTCCCACAGTAAGCTCAAGAGCAGGGGGCGTCCCCTCCGTCCAGGCAGGCCTTCCTCACCTACTTTGACAGGCCATTCACAGGCTGGTCAGGAAGCAGCAGGAATGGCCTCCAGGTCTGGTCCTCAGCGACCTCAAGCAGCAGCCCTGAGACAGATGACGAAGGACCCAGCCTAAGGCTGGATGCACTGGGTAGGAGGGGTGAGCCCCCCAGCAGGAACAGGTAGCAGGCTGCCTGGTGTCCATGGAGCACGACCCTGGAGGACGGGCAGAGTGGACGTGGCATCCAGCCAGGGATGGCTGGCAAGAAGACTCCTCCATCTGCAGGTCTTCCCTGGCCCCCTGAGCTGGGCTCAGGGCTTGCCGCTGGCCAGTCCCTGCAGGAAGCCCTCCAGGACAGGGCGATCCCCAGTCCCCAGGGTCCCGGCTGTTCTTCCATCAGAACCATGGTTCAAAGCTTTGGGACCCCCCCCGGCCACGTTCGGGGTGGCCCACGCCTCTTATCCCAGTCACCCAGAAGGCTCAGGCAGGAGCATCACATGTTCAAGGCCAGCCTGGGAAACAGACCTGAATCCAAAACTAAAAGGGGCTGGGGCACAGCTCATTGGTAGAGTATCACTACGTTCAACCCCTGGTACCAGACAATAAATAGATAAATGATGAGTTCCCTGGGCTGCGTCGGCTCCTGGTGGTTTGCAGGAGAGGGGGCTGCAGCAGGGAGCGCAGTCACGGCACTCAGACCTGGCAACCTGCCTCTCCTTAAAGGGCTTGCACAGCCACATGCACGTGCAGGGACCTAGGTCAGGAAGCCGGCAGGTGGAGGAGGCCCATCCTCTCCAGAATCACCAGGAAGCTCACAGGGTTCCCTCACCTCAGGCAGATTCAGGCTGCTCCTGTGCCCTGCCTAGGAGAGGGGACTGCTAAGAGCACCTGGCTGGGGGCCAGAGAACTGGCGGCCACCCCACCTCCTTCTGTCTTCCTGAAAAGGAAGCCTGGGGTGAGCAGCAGGAGCAGAGGCCCCTCCCCCACCCTGTTCCTGTCACTGTGCTGGGACAGGGGGTTTCTAAACCCTAGGGCCTCAGACGTTCACTGTGAGGCGCCGAGTCCCACAGAGATGGCAGACCTGGGAGAGGCCTGTGCTGCAGAGGAGACGGGGTCCAGCTCCTGATGGCCACTCCCCCTGCTGCCAGGTGGTCCTGAGCACACTGCAGGAGGGGCTTCAGACCAGGACAGTGCTGCAGGTGGCAAGCCCTGGGCTGGGGCACACTGGTCTCAGGAGCCAGGGCCCGTGTGCCAATGGTGCTGACCAACACTGTCCTTGCTTCTCAGAGTCTGAAGACCAGGGGCAAGACCCAAGGAGGGATGCAGATGATACCATCTGGTAAGCAGGTGTGTGTGTGTGTGTGTGTGTGTGTAGAACAGACCCCACCAAGGTCAGGCTTGGGAGGGACCCGAAGGACCCAGTGTCCTGAGAAGATCCACCTGAGGGCCTGTGGGGGGCGTTTCAAGAATTCACGTTTATTGGGAGGGACTCCCCACAGAAACAGGACCCTCTGTCCCCTCCTTGCAGCCCATTCCAGCTGGCCCTGGCCTCAGGTCAACTGGCTTGGCCAAAGTGTCAGAGCAAACAACCCCACAAACCACCCTGGAAAGGAGGTGCTGGACCCAAGGAGGTCTCTTCTGTTGGGGTGGGAGCGTGCCCAATGGCTCCACAGAGGGAGGCCCCGACGGACTCTCCCAGCATAGCCCTGCCCCCGGCTCCACCCACCTAGGAGGCCTCAGTCACTGAATCTCCCAAGAATCTTTCTTGGACATCAAGGTCCAACTCACCACCATGGACCCGGAGTGGCCTCGTGGAGACCAGGGTGCTCGGCCACCAGTGTGGCTGGAGGGCAGAGGGCCTGGGGGAGGCCTGGAGCACCCTCCCTGCCCAGCTGGGTGTGGGTGGCAGGGCTGAGCCAGGAGGCCCACTGTCCTCTTGGTGGTACAGTGAGACGCTTGCCTTTACCCCACCATGTCTCCCCACCCGATGCTGGAGAAGCCCCCTCCCTGCACCCTAGATTCAACAGAGTGCTGCAGGGAGGGTCACCCAGGTGGGGTGGGTGACTGGCCCAGACCCAGCCCAGCCAGTCTCCATGGCAGCTGGTCTTCAGGCAGAGGTAGCCATGCACTCACTGATGGTAGTCACCTCTGCACAGCGTATTCTGGTCCTTTGAGCAGGTGGGACCTGCTTTCTCGATCAGCCCAGTTAACTGTTGCTAGCAGGATGCTGTCATTCAGGGTGTGTCTAAACAAGAGGGGTCATTGGAGAAGTCAGGGTAGGCTGGCTTTCAGTGCCAGGAGGGAACCTCATGTCCAGACCCTCTACCCACAGAAGGGCCCCACAGACTCACCTCAGCTGGGTGCCTGTTACCCAGCACTGGCACGAGGCACCCAGGCAAGGGCAGGTCCATCTCCTCGTCCCATGACACCTTTCCCTCCCTGTTTCCCTTCTCTCACAGTCAGGCAAATCTAGAGGAAGACAGGAAGGAAAAGAATCAGGATGCCCTGGGAAGCCTGGACCTTGAGTGTGGGAAAACGGAGTCAGAGGTTGAGAAGAGCGACTCAGAGACCAGCACCAAGGAGGAGCAGGCAGGAGCATGTGCAGGCAGCTGCGTCCTGGAGGCTGAGGTGAGCCCCACTTGATGCCTGGGGCCCTCTGTCATCTTGATGGGGGTCTGCTTGTATCAACCTGTGGGTGTCTTCTTTGGCTTGCAGGAACAAGAGCTGGAGTCCGTGAAGCTGAATGATCTTCTGAAAAAAGAGGCAAGAGCTTCCTTTGGTGACAGGAGCAAGCCCGCCCGGCCATGAGCGCACTGCAGACTGGTGGTCCTGGGGTCACCTCAGCAGAATCCATGCTGTAGAGCTGCCCCAGGCCCTCCCCTTCATCCAGAGAGGCCGGGGTCCAAGCTTGGCCTCTGCTGTCCCAGGGCATCCTCGCCCAGCTTGCCAAACAGGGCAGGCACTGATGGAGTTGGGTCCTGAGAGGAGCTGACATTCAGCGGACCTTGGCCGAGGAGAACAAGCCAGAGCCACCTGCCCAGATGCAGTGTTAGGGATTCTCACGGACACTTGATACAGGAAGGTTGATTCTAGTCTCCTTCCCAGACCGCGTGCTAGTTATGGAGAGGGTGGACATGTTGCTTACCAGGATTTTACAACAGACCACCCTGGGTGTGGTTATGGGCCAGCCAAAGTGCCCAGATGGAGACCCTGAGGCAGCTATCAGCTAAACTGCAGGGCCACTGCACCCCAGTGTGAGTCTTTGCCAGCGGGTGCAGTGTGGCTCCAGGTGAATCTCTGGAGGCAGAATCCAGCTGAGCAGGCCTGGGAGGTACCTCCCCAGGGCATGGCCACTGCCCAGAGGCCCTGGTGGGTGAAGGTGTGGGAGACCCTCTGAAGTCTCAGGAACCTGATGGGAAGTGAGTAGGGTGGACGGGAAGGCCATATTCCTCCCTCTCGCTCCCTGCCAGAGTCAGCCCCACAGATACCTCAGGGCCACACTGCCATTAGCCCTCCAACCAGCTTTGCCGGACCCCCGACCCTGAGCATCACCAGCATCTGATAACCCTGGTGCCTGCCCTGGCTGCCCAAGGCCGGGAGCCGCAGCCCCTTCCAGGAAGTCTGCTTTCTTCACACTCACCCCAGCTCTGTGATTTCCACCCACAGAAACCATCTGCACTCGTGGAGATTGACCTGGGAGATCATGCCGAGGAGGTACAGACAAAACCCTCACCACCTACCCAGAAAGTGCCTGTACCCAGACTGGGCTGGGCAGGTTTGGGGGACTTGCCCATAGCAGGCCTGTTCAGAGGGTGAGGCAGAAACCCACGACCAACAGCTCCTTGGATGCTCCACGGTGATGCGACTTGGCCTCCCTTATTCCCACTCCCACGTACCCTGGGGCTGTATTCTAGGGCCTGGGTAAACTCTTGGCTCCAGAACCTCTTGTGGGATCACACCAGGTAGTAGAAAGGGTGAAGCCTGGAGATTTGGACCCAAAAAATACCTTCTGTGCCTCAGTTGTCTCCTCTGCCAAAAAGGGACTGTAGAAGTACCCCCAAGTTGTTTTGTAGAGATCTCAGAAGAGAGCACCATACCCAGAAATCCACAGTATTAATTATCACCACCATGACTATCACAACCATCAACATTGTCATCTCCAGCACTGTCATCACCATCATCACCATCACCCCCCCACCACCAGCAGCAGCATCACTGTCATCCCCACCAGCACCACCCCTCATCCCCAGTCATCACATCATCTCCCATCAGTACTACCATCACCACTATCACCATGACCCACAGTGGCATCATTATCTGTACATCACCACCATCACCATCATCATTACTGTCACATTACACCATCACCATCACCATCATTACTGTCACCATTACACCATCACTATCACCATCATCATTACTGTCACATTACACCATCACGATCACCATCATCATTACTGTCACATTACACCATCACCATCACCACCATTAGTGTCACCATTACACCATCACCATCATTATTACTGTCACATTACACCATCACCATCACCATCATCATCACTGTCACCATTACACCATCACCATCACCATCATCATCACTGTCACATTACACCATCACCATCACCACCATTACTGTCACCATTACACCATCACCATCATCATCACCATCTTTACTGTCACCATTACACCATCACCATCACCACCTTCATTACTGTCACCATTACACCATCACCATCATCATCACCATCACCACCATCTTTACTGTCACCATTACACCATCACCATCACTGTCATTATAATTATCACCATCCTCTTCATCACTGTATCCTGATAACACTGTCACCATCCCCACCGTCAGCATGACCACCCTCACATCACCATCACCATCTTCATCACCATACCTGGATAGCCACTGTCACCAGCACCAGCACCATTATTCCCACTGTCAGCCTCATCACATTGTCACCACCATTAAAAAAGACGAAGTTGACATGAGGTTTGTCTAGGGCCTTCCAGCACGAGGGTCCAATTCTCTGCTCTGGCCAGCAGTCACCATTTTTCGAGTTTCTCGAAGTTCTCTTCTGGAGAGTTTAAGTTCTGCCTGAGAGTTGGTTCTTCTCCATGGTGCACTCTTTCCCCTCAGATCACACCCTACTGTGCAAGGAGCTTATTAAGTCCCCACCAGGCTCCTCCTGGGGGTCCCCTGGGTTCCAGGGATTCCAGGGGGTTCAGCCAGTAGCAGAGTTGCACCAGTTGGGGTCCCTGTCAGGTGGAGGGTGCTCGAGCCATGGCCTCTGGGACCCACCTCCCCTGGCCTACTCCTTGGCAGACCCCACAGGTGGACACCCCCCACCCTCTGAACCTGCCTGCCTCTCCCACAGGTGACCACCCGTGCTGTGAGAGAAGAGAAGTGGGGCGAGATGGACATAGGGGATTTGTCAGAAGACGAGTGAGTGAGGCCTGTGGGCTTGCGTGGGGATGAGGGCAGGGCTTGTCCTCTCTGCAGGGCACACTGGACCCCCAGTGCCCCTCATGTGGGTGCACGCAGAGGTCAAGAAGGGACTGAGAGGCAAGCACCCTATTTCCCTCAGACCCTACCCTACTGAGATGATGGGATTAAATCCCTGTGTGTTTGGCTCTGAGTCCAGGGTTCCTGCAACGGGAAAGGGGGGGCAGCTGCCTCGCTGCAGGGGAAAGGGCTGGCTGCCAGATTCCAAGTGGCTCACTTCTGGACCTGGGGCTAGCTGGAGGACAGGGTAGCAGACTGGCTCTGCGGGAGTCTGCTTCTGCCATAGCCTCAAGGCTGTGGACAGAGTGCCCTGTGGGGTGGAGTGAGCACAGTCCAAGTGGGGAGCAGGCTGGAGCACCCGCAGGTGCCCGGCAGGGCCAGGCAGGGTCTTTCCTTACCACAACACCCTACTTCTGGCCTCTAGGACCAGGACCAGCTGGGTGTGCTGCATCCCTTACCCCACCAAAAGGAAGGCGGAGGGCTGTGTGGCAACCCTGGAGAAGGTACTTAGCTCCTGGAGAAGAGGGAGGGGCGGGTGGGGATAGCACCGGTGGTCACACACCCTGTGCCCTTCCCAGGACCCCTCGGACCAGGCTCCCAGGGACTCTCTCGGGATTGGCCAGAGCTGAGAATGAGGGTCAGAGGAAGCGGTGATGCCAGCTCCCAACCCTCCCCAAGAGTGCAGCCCTGAGACCATCGGCCGAAGCCCTGGACACTGGGCGCGACGTCAAACTTCAAAAGACGCAGGGTGAGTTGCCTGGACACACTTTCTCTGAGGTGTGGAAAGGGGCAGGAGTGTGGCTCAGCCTTGCAGGCCATGTGGTCAGAGACTGTAGGTGACCACACTCAGAACTGCTGAGGGGCCAGGTACAGGACCCTGCAGTGGGGGAAGCCGCCCAGCAGCCTGACATCCTCCTCTGACAGTTGCCTGGAGTAGCCCTGACGGAACTAGAGGACAGGGATCCCAGTGCTGCACTGGGGAGCTGTAGGCGCTCAACTTGGCAGAGGAGAGAGGGACCTCCCCCTTGGACAGTGGTCAGGATGCCCGTCCCCCACTCCCCAGCCTCCCCAGATTTCCTGAATCATGGCTCCAAGAGGCGCAATGCTCAGGGAGGTTCTCATAACCCAAACCCCGAGCCCCAGGCGCGCCAGGCAGGGTACTGCAGGGTACAGCCCTCCTCCATCTCAACTCAGTCATGTGGACTTCCTGAAACTAGCCAAGTCCTCTGGAAAACTGACCCTGATTGCTGGTCCAGGCTCCGAGCAGTCCCACCCTTGGGAAAAGGCCACACAGACTGTGGGGCCTGCAAGAAGTGAGCAGCCTGGGTCCCTCACTGTGCCATGAGTAGCCTTTAGGGGGCCTTTAGGGAGCAGGTATAGGCCCAGGCCCTTCTAGAACATTCTGCCTGCACTAGTGGGCCCCATGTCCCTTGGTGGGTAAGGAGACGAGGGTGCCTCTTCTGGCAGCCAGGACAGGTGTTGGCTGCCTGCTGCGCGGCTTGTGGCTGCTGCAGGTCGTCCTCAGTCAGTCCTGTCCTGTCACCTTCAGGAAGCAGCCCTCTGTTTGCACCAGGTCCAGCAGTCCTGCAGGTCTCGACTGGCCAACAGCGCCCCCTGGTGGCATGCTTCCCACACGGCTCTGCTTTCAGTCCTAGGAAACACCATCCAAGAGGGACCGCTGCACTGGACTCGACCTACCACAAAATTTACACTCCTCCACTGCTTATTCATTAAAGGACAGGCCAGGATGTGCTTGGTGGCTGGCACTTAGTTATGACTCTGCATTGGAGCCTATGGGGCCAGGCTCTGCCTGGGGGGCCTGCGTCCTGACCAGCATGACTGTGGGGCCCCAAAGCAAATCCCCACAAGCTCTGCACAAAACAAGAAGCAGAAGCACAACCCCTCAAAGGAAGACATCAGTCCCCAAGTGCCCCACAAGGGACATGGGGATGTGCAGGTCAGGGGAGGACAGATGTCTGTGGGCCATGCCAGGCAGGGCCCTGCAGGGCACAGCATCTGCTCTCTGACTGCCAGAAGGCAGGGAAGTGCAAGAAGTCCCCTGGAGAGATGTCCAGGGGGACACACTGGGGAGGGGGACCTCCCGCCTCCCTCTTCTTCCCTACAGCTGAGGCTCCCCCTGGGACTCAGAATTCCTCATGGGGATACCCGGGGGTGCAGAGGCAGAGAGAATGCTGGGCTAGGAGGCCTCCGGACGGGGTGATCCAAGCTGAGATTCTCAGGGTCTTTCTCCTCCACTGGGCAAGCCTAATCATGGAATATGTGGGGACTCAGCCCACTGACTGGGGCCCTCTGAAGGGTGGGACAGTGTCCGGTGGAGGGCAAGGAGCCAGCCCCCGCGAGGAGCCCAATTGATTCATCCAGTTTGGTTCTGACAAATACTGGAGGGATCAATAGGAAAGGAAGCCCATTTCACACTAGAAAACTCACAAGTGCAAAGGGCAGGGCAGCGGGCAGCTGGGCAGTGGGTGGACCTCCACAGCGCTATAGCCAGCATGATCCATCCTCCCAAGAAAATGGCCCTCAAGCAGCCGCGTCCTCCATGGTCTTGCCACAATGGGTCCTCATGGCACGAATGCAAACTACTCAGGAAAACGCCAAACCTCCAACACAGGACACATCTGCAACGGGTCTGTGTCCCAATAGGTCAATTCATCCATACCTCTCTGCCCACGGAGGCCGGTCCCCAAGTAAGGAGATACTGTCCTCAATCAAGGAGACTCTATCCTCACACCAGTCATCACTCTGCACCTGCCTAGTGACTCCATGGTGTGTAGAACAGCAGTCCTCAGGCTGTGCCTGCCCTGGTGACTCCATGGTGTGTAGAACACCAGTCCTCAGGCTGTGCCTGCCCTAGTGACTCCATGGTGTGTAGAACAGCAGTCCTCAGGCTGTGCCTGCCCTAGTGACTCCATGGTGTGTAGAACAGCAGTCCTCAGGCTGTGCCTGCCCTAGTGACTCCATGGTGTGTAGGACAGCAGTCCTCAGGCTGTGCCTGCCCTGGTGACTCCATGGTGTGTAGAACAGCAGTCCTCAGGCTGTGCCTGTCCTAGTGACTCCATGGTGTGTAGAACAGCAGTCCTCAGGCTGTGCCTCCCCTAGTGACTCCATGGTGTGTAGAACAGCAGTCCTCAGGCTGTGCCTGCCCTGGTGACTCCATGGTGTGTAGAACACCAGTCCTCAGGCTGTGCCTGCCCTAGTGACTCCATGGTGTGTAGGACAGCAGTCCTCAGGCTGTGTCTGTCCTGGTGACTCCATGGTGTGTGGAACAGAAGTCCTCAGGCTGTGCCTGCCCTAGTGACTCCATGGTGTGTAGAACAGCAGTCCTCAGGCTGTGCCTGCCCTAGTGACTCCATGGTGTGTAGAACAGCAGTCCTCAGGCTGTGCCTGTCCTACTGACTCCATGGTATGTAGGACAGCAGTCCTCAGGCTGTGCCTGTCCTAGTGACTCCATGTTGTGTAGGACAGCAGTCCTCAGGCTGTGCCTGTCCTAGTGACTCCATGGTGTGTAGGACAGCAGTCCTCAGGCTGTGCCTGCCCTAGTGACTCCATGGTGTGTAGAACAGCAGTCCTCAGGCTGTGCCTGCCCTAGTGACTCCATGGTGTGTAGGACAGCAGTCCTCAGGCTGTGCCTGTCCTAGTGACTCCATGGTGTGTAGTACAGCAGTCCTCAGGCTGTGCCTGTCCTAGTGACTCCATGGTGTGTAGAACAGCAGTCCTCAGGCTGTGCCTGCCCTAGTGACTCCATGGTGTGTAGAACAGCAGTCCTCAGGCTGAGCCTGCCCTAGTGACTCCATGGTGTGTAGAACAGCAGTCCTCAGGCTGTGCCTGCCCTAGTGACTCCATGGTGTGTAGAACAGCAGTCCTCAGGCTGTGCCTGCCCTAGTGACTCCATGGTGTGTAGAACAGCAGTCCTCAGGCTGTGCCTGCCCTAGTGACTCCATGGTGTGTAGAACAGCAGTCCTCAGGCTGTGCCTTTCCTGGTGACTCCATGGTGTGTAGAACAGCAGTCCTCAGGCTGTGCCTGCCCTAGTGACTCCATGGTGTGTAGAACAGCAGTCCTCAGGCTGTGTCTGCCCTAGTGACTCCATGGTGTGTAGAACAGCAGTCCTCAGGCTGTACCTGCCCTGAGTGACTCCATGGTGTGTAGAACAGCAGTCCTCAGGCTGTGCCTGCCCTAGTGACTCCATGGTGTGTAGAACAGCAGTCCTCAGGCTGTGCCTGCCCTAGTGACTCCGTGGTGTGTAGAACAGCAGTCCTCAGACTGCGCCTGTCCTAGTGACTCCATGGTGTGTAGGAACAGCAGTCCTCAGGCTGCGCCTGCCCTAGTGACTCCATGGTGTGTAGAACAGCAGTCCTCAGGCTGAGCCTGCCCTAGTGACTCCATGGTGTGTAGAACAGCAGTCCTCAGGCTGTGCCTGTCCTGGTGACTCCATGGTATGTAGAAAAGCAGTCCTCAGGCTGTGCCTGCCCTAGTGACTCCATGGTGTGTAGAACAGTGGTCCTCAGGCTGTGCCTGCTCTAGTGACTCCATGGTGTGTAGGACAGCAGTCCTCAGGCTGTGCCTGTCCTAGTGACTCCATGGTGTGTAGACAGCAGTCCTCAGGCTGTGCCTGTCCTAGTGACTCCATGGTGTGTAAAACAGCAGTCCTCAGGCTGTGCCTGCCCTAGTGACTCCATGGTGTGTAGAACAGCAGTCCTCAAGCTGTACCTGCCCTGGTGACTCCATGGTGTGTAGAACAGCAGTCCTCAGGCTGTGATTGCCCTAGTGACTCCATGGTGTGTAGGACAGCAGTCCTCAGGCTGTGCCTGCCCTAGTGACTCGATGGTGTGTAGAACAGCAGTCCTCAGGCTCTGCCTGCCCTAGTGACTCCATGGTGTGTAGAACAGCAGTCCTCAGGCTGTGCCTGCCCTGGTGACTCCATGGTGTTTAGAACAGCAGTCCTCAGGCTGTGCCTGCCCTGGTGACTCCATGGTGTGTAGGACAGCAGTCCTCAGGCTGTGCCTGCCCTGGTGACTCCATGGTGTTTAGAACAGCAGTCCTCAGGCTGTGCCTGCCCTGGTGACTCCATGGTGTGTAGGACAGCAGTCCTCAGGCTGTGCCTGCCCTGGTGACTCCATGGTGTGTAGAACAGCAGTCCTCAAGCTGTACCTGCCCTGAGTGTCTCCATGGTGTGTAGAACAGCAGTCCTCAGGCTGTGCCTCTGCCCTAGTGACTCCATGGTGTGCAGGACAGCAGTCCTCAGGCTGTCCCTGCCCTAGTGACTCCATGGTGTGCAGGACAGCAGTCCTCAGGCTGTGCCTGCCCTAGTGACTCCATGGTGTGTAGGACAGCAGTCCTCAGGCTGTGCCTGTCCTAGTGACTCCATGGTGTGTAGAACAGCAGTCCTCAGGCTGTGCCTGCCCTAGTGACTCCATGGTGTTTAGAACAGCAGTCCTCAGGCTGCGCCTGTCCTAGTGACTCCATGGTGTGTAGAACAGCAATCCTCAGGCTGTGCCTCCCCTAGTGACTCCATGGTGTGTAGGACAGCAGTCCTCAGGCTGTGCCTGCTCCAGTGACTCCATGGTGTGTGGAACAGCAGTCCTCAGGCTGTGCCTGCCCTAGTGACTCCATGGTGTGTAGGACAGCAGTCCTCAGGCTGTGCCTGCCCTGGTGACTCCATGGTGTGTAGGACAGCAGTCCTCAGGCTGTGCCTGCCCTAGTGACTCCATGGTCTCTAGAACAGCAGT